GATGCTGTTAATTTTCAGAGAGCTAAAATTATTGTGAAAAATTCTACAACAAAAACGAGTACAAAATCTGGAAAGCATAAACAAAATTCAACAGAATCGACACTTGGGCCGAGATAAATGCATGGTATGGTTTTAGCGCACAAGGAGGCACAAAGAAACACAGGACAATCCTGTGTTCCTTTGTGTCTCTTCATGCGCTGAAACCACAGTTATAGAAAACGATCAATTTAGAGTAGAAGCAAAAATCCCAATTTCGCATTTTGTTAACTTCGCGAAGCATCCGTCGCAATGACTGTCTTTATTCGTAATTGAAACCGATGATAACTCAGAATAGATTTCAAAAGGTGGTGCAACATTAGCTTTGTTATTCTGGGAAATTTTAATCAAAACAGTATCACATATGTCACTAATATACGCGATTCCCTCTGTATGTGTTGAACCTCTGCATTCTCAGATTTATAATAAACCGGTGTGTTCTACATGAAAACTCGATATATGTGGTGAGCCGAAGTAAAATAGTCATCAATTTTGGTGGCAGATGGCACTGAAGTATGAAGGAGTGAAACAAATTTATTTGGTCCACAATAAGTAGATACCATAGTGAAGACATGCATGGATGCACAGGTATGTTATGTTGCTTCACTGTTGGTCACCTGCACGGCAGCTGACATAGGTAGTGGGAGAAAACAGAAAAGAGCTCTCGCGAAAGTTCTTTTCAGCCCCTTCAATCTCTAATAAACGTCCTGTGGTAGCCGTCAGGCTGCTGACCAAACGTGCCGCAAAGACAGTTATACAGTCCAATCCACATAACGATCCCAGGTATAACGATCTATCGATTATATTGACCATATTTCGGTGCACTTACGATTTTCCTATGCTACCCTTTAAAACTGAGTCCAGATGCAGAGAACATTTTCAGCGCCTGATACTTTTACAACGAACACTTCCGACACGGTTGCAGTAAAAATATAGCGCATACAAAGTGAAAAAGAAAGAGTTAAAACAGCCATTCTTAAGCAGGTGATAGGCATGCTCGTGTGTGCACTGCTGCAGTTTGCTTGCGACAAAAGATATCACAGAATGCGGCCTGCGCCGCACGCAGATTTCGGACGTTGCGAGCGAGGTGGTTTACTTTCCTAATATTTCTTCACAGGCAAACTAAAAGTGAGGAGAATAAAAAAAAAAAAAAAGGCAGCAGCATGAAATACTGCGGTCAGCTTTTGCATGGCAATATTTTCTGACGTTATTCTCGGCATCTACGACCGCCGACGATAAACCAAGTTTCCCTTCGAACGCAAGAAGCCGTGAATGCGAGAAGCGATAACTTTTGTCGCACGAAATATCACTGCGACGCTCAACTCTCCGACACCACAATGAGCCATTAAGGGTTTTGCACCTTTCGGTAACGACAAAGACCGGTCGATTAGTGATAACGACTGGTCTGGCACCGGTCGTTATTAGTGATAACGACCGGTTAAGGCACCGCCGCATGGTCGCGGCGGTGCCTTAACGGATAAGCATAAAAAAAAGCAAAAGCAAGGCGACCAGTGGCGATGAATGTACCATTTTGATTCGCTGCTGGCGAGCTTATCACAGTCATCTGCACACGACTGTGCACAGTCTTTTGGCGGAGGGACGGTGGTACAAGCACGTCATGGTGCCGTTCGCAAATGCGCCACTGCCGTGTCGTGCGAGGCTGCTTGCGCACGTTGCTCGCAAAAAATGTACAGGCTGCCCGCAGCACCCTAGCACGATCCAGAGTGAATAATGCGTGAAGAACGCACAAACGCGCACATACATTGGACTGCACGTGAACTGGCATGCGACGGCGAGAGTAGCTAGGGTAAGCGACATATTGCACGCAACTAGCCAGGAATGACTGGTTCGACGTGGCAGTACCGCGATTCAATGAAACTGTGCGAGTTCATTGAGAACGGGCATCGTTTAACATGCAAAAAGGCCTAAATTCTCATCAAAGGGGTCGTTCGCACGTTTTAATAAAAAATACACAAAAAAGGGGTTCTGCAACTACGTATTGGTTTTTATGGGTAGCTCCATATACAACGAACTACTGATGTAACAACCATTTATCGCGGCACTTTCAAGTTCGTTATAAATGGGTTTGACTAGCTTGTTTTGTATTTCTAAAGCGATTACAGCCGATTTCTGAAAACGTCTAGAAAAAACGTCTCGGCCAGATCTTAGTTTTTTCACCGTCTTTTTGCGTAACACCACAGCTATCTTAGAATCAGTTAGCCGTATGTATGGCTACAGAATGTTTCGACCGAAGACATGTATTAAACCTTTCGGCCAGCCATTCAAAACACTTTTTGGATGTGAAATAGCTTCTTTTTTTATGTTTCATGGGATAGGACACGTATAACCTAAGGGTCATGGCGGTAATGTAAACCAGTTGGTTTGAGTCTCTTTTATTGATACTCGTAGCACAAACACCAGACACAGACACAAGTAAGGAACACGTGCACAAGACGGGCACCGTTTTTTTTTTTTCGCTAGACTTCTCATTTTTTACTGGAAGACAGCCTGAAAAAGCCAAAAACCATTAGACATGAGTGCATACGTGCCATCACACTACGAGGTGCCTCCTTATATCTGCAGCTTCACGAGCTACCACCTTACACATGCAAAATTTGCTAGCGCCCGTTTTGTATACATGCTTTACTTGTGTCTGTGTCTGGTTTCTGAGCTATGAATATAAATAGAAATAACCTAAGTGATAAAGTTACAGTGAGGACATCAAAAGTTAATTGTATTTCTATTGCGCTAAGAGTCCTGCATAAAAGTCAGTTGCATCATGTGAGAGCTGATTAACCAACAGCCACGAGACCTGTCTTTAGACTGTGCAGTGCAATAAGTGCCTACTAATGGTGAAGCATTCACAAGTGGTTCCTGTTCTATTTGCCTTTCCATTTCTTTCCCCTCTTCCTAGCCAATGGTTCAGGCAGTGTACTCCATTTTACAAATCACCAACTATGTTACACAATGTGCCACCAAACAAGACCCAAAGTGGTTTTCTTGTCGGACATCCTCCTTGAACATGGTGTCCCTCATAATAATATTGTGGTTATGGGATGTAAAACCCAATATTATTACTTAGTCTCCTGAGACAATCGTTGATTGATTGATTCATATGTGGGGTTTAACGTCCCAAAACCACCATATGATTATGAGAGACGCCGTAGTGGAGGGCTCCGAAAATTTTGACCACTTGTGGTTCTTTAGCGTGCACCCAAATATGAGCACACGGGTCCACAACATTTCTGCCTCCACCGGAAACGCAGCCGCCGCAGCCGGGATTCGATCCCGCAACCTGCGAGTCAGCAGCAGAGTACCTTAGCTACTAGACCACCACGGCGGGGTAAGTGAGCAACTTAGGTTAAATGACAACTCGACGTCATTGTCTTCTTTACCTTGATTGTGATAACTAGGGTGACAATTTTTGTTTCAAATTGCACTTTGGATACGATAATAGTGTTAGCTGTTCTTGCATATGTCTGTTTTGTTACTCTCTGAAATCCACAACCAACACGTTTGTTGTTGACAGCTATCTTGGATACCCCATTTTTTTATGGCTTTCCTTTTTTAATTTAGCATTTAGCATTTTTCATAAACCTGGAAGTGCTAATGCAACAGTTACCCAAGTGCTTCAGTACTTTCCTGCAATTACGGAGCACTGTTGTCATAGGCCGACACAGTAGACAAATGTATAAGTACAGATTAGACAGCACTGCTTCGATAGGATGCATGTTTAAAAAGGATCAATGAAAAGGATGGCACACATTTGTGGATTTTCTCAAACTAAAATTATTGTTACAAATATGCTAGAAGGAAAACAGAGGATGATCTCGAAGATACCAAACTACAGCTACAGAAACAACTGTACAGGGCAAAATGAATGAAAAAGGAAAAATTTCAAGCACTTGTATTGCTTTGTTGGACATTAATTAGGAGTAACTAATAATGAAGTGAATGACAATATTGTTATTTATAGTGAATGTGATACAAACGAGAAAATTATTAAACCAACTTCCTAGCAAAAGTCAATCGTCATTTCAGCCATTACATGTTTTTGCAACTGGGAAACACTGGGAGACAGTCAGCTTTAATCACTCAAAAAGGAATTTTATGCATAGCTGCTTTCCAACATACGAAATGAATTAATAGAATGAAAATGAAGAACTTTAATCTAAATGTTTATCCATTCAGTCATAAAAAAAAAATCTTAATTTTACAGCATGGCCTGACAGCATCACTTCAACTATGTAGTTACCATCGGGGCCATGAAATAAATATGGTCTTCGATGACTGGAACAATTGTATATTTACAACATATCCAAATTTATAGCTAGCTAAGATGTGTAATGTACACTAGGCAACTCGCTCATCAACTTTTTATTTTGAAATGACCTTCTCCTGTAGTAATCTCTCTGATGTAAACATCGGGCCAAAATAGTCAACATGTCTTGTAACAACATGAAAATAGGCAGTGGTGCAAAGACTCGATTGATATGTGGGCTTTAATGTCCCAAAAGCATCGTATGATTATGAGAGACGTCGTAGCGGAGGGCTCCGGAAATTTCGACCACCTGGGGTTCTTTAACGTGCACCCAAATCTGAGCACACGAACCTGCAGCATTTTCCCCTCCATCGAAAATGCAGCTGCCACAGCCGGGATTCGATCCCGCGACCTGCGGGTCAGCAGCCGAGTAATATAGCCACTAGACCACCGCGGCAGGGCTGGTGCAAAGACTTATCGAGTGAAAAAGCAATTTAAAAAAAAAGCAACTATAATATATTATTTGAGGTTTTATACATGCCCCCACCACAATACGATTATGAGGCACGCCACAGTCTGAAAATTTTGACCATGTCGTATTCTTTAACAAGCACTAACATTGCACTGCAGCCATGGTGCCAAGTGGTTCCCTATTACTATTTGCACTTGTTTACTACCAGTTAGAACTTGCTGCTGCACAAAGTTTTATGCAGTGGCTGTATTTAATTCGCCAGCTCACAAAGACACAAGGATAAAGCAAAATATGTAAACATCAACATAATGCTGCTTTCAGTGCACAAGGTGAGAGTGACAATTATGTCTAGCAACATTTTTAGATGAAAATTTTCTGTTTCCACATTCCTAGCTTACATTAACATTTTCAAAGACTACGTAGGGAATAGTGTAACATTCAAGTCTAAATTCTGAGTAACATGCCATATGATTAAATGCAGAATACTTAATCTCGCTGAATGCAATGAGCATGTCCTCATTGCTACTCACTTCAATTAAATTATCAATGTAAAAACTTGCTCCAAAGTCTTTCCGCTCATTTTCATCAATAGACATACTAGTTATAACACAACCACAAACAACACAGTCAATTATATCACTTGTGTCTTTATAAGAATGTATAAAAGCTCTAGTACAAAGGTCATGCTGCTGGTGTCAGGTTGATGAGTGAATTGCTGCTGTCAACAAGCTCACTTATGGACACTCGTCCTCTCTGCTTTATGAAATGTGCCACTTCCTCAAGCTCTTGCCGTGTTATGTAGATGAACTTTCCTCGATCGTCGATGACACCTACCAGGGTTTCATCCGCTAGCAGGGCTTGTACACGGTCAATGCATTCCTGTGTGAGCAAACAAACTTTCAGACAACAGCTACATAAGCTTATGTATTTCATTTAAGTTTGAACCTTTTTCAAATGAGAAGCAACAGGAAAAAAATGTGTACTTGAGTAGTTATGAAAAAAAAGAACAAGAATAAGAAGGCTAAGCTGGCAGCAGGTTATATAATGTCCTACGTATGAAGATAAGCCATACACTACCACTGAACATTAAACAATCTGAAAAAATAAAAGTAACAAAATGAATGCCTAGGAAAGTCAGATATAGAAGCAGATTAGCTAGCATAATGAGTAGATGTCTAACTTTTAGGCATTAAAAACCTTTTATACACCATAAATAGGCAAGCAAAACAAAGTACAGTATTAGACGGCAACAATAGACAGACTAAACACACTTTAGCCTATAATGTTGTGAACGTATGCACAATTGATTTTTACATGACTGCAAATTATTTTATAACAGAGCGCTGTACACAACCTATATCTGCGAAAAAAATGGGGGAAAAGAAGGTTGTTCATGATAGCCCAAAAGTGCCAATAAACGAACATAGCTGTGCAATTGTCCTTTTTTCCACACGGTCCGCAGTACATGGTTTCTGTTTTTATTCTGTCCTAGGATGAGTCAACACACTCATGGGTCCCTCTTAGGCATGGCTGAGAAGGGCAGTACAGGAGCAGATAGCCACACCGCTTAAAAATGGAGGGATAACTTGTGCTACCCAGGTCTAATCGTGTCATCATCATCATCAGCCTGACTACGTCCACTGCAGGACAAAGGCCTCTCCCATGTTCCGCCAGTTAACCCGGTCCTGTGCTTGCTGCTGCCAATTTATACCCGCAAACTTCTTAATCTTATCTGCCCACCTGACCTTCTGTCTCCCCCTAACCCGCTTGCCTTCTCTGGGAATCCAGTTGGTTACCCTTAACGACCAGCGGTTATCCTGTCTACGCGCTACATGCCCGGCCCATGTCCATTTCTTCTTCTTGATTTCAGCTACGATATCCTTAATCCTCGTTTGTTCCCTAATCCACTCTGCTCTCTTCTTGTCTTTTAAGGTTACACCTACCATTTTTCTTTCCATTGCTCGCTGCATCATCCTCAATTTCAGCTGAACCGTCTTTGTAAGTCTCCAGGTTTCTGCTCCGTAGCTAAGTACCGGCAAGATACAGCTGTTATATACCTTCCTCTTGAGGGATAGTGGCAATCTACCTGTCATAATTTGAGAGTGCTTGCCAAATGTGCTCCACCCCATTCTTATTCTTCTAGTTACTTCAATCTCGTGGTTCGGCTCCGCGGTTATGACCTGCTCTAAGTAGACATAGTCTTTTACAACTTGAAGTGCACTATTACCTATCTCGAAGCGCTGCTCTTTTCCGAGGTTATTGTACATTACTTTCGTTTTTTGCAGATTCATTTTAAGACCCACCTTTCTGCTCTCCTTGTCTAACTCCGTAATCATGAGTTGCAATTCGTCCCCTGAGTTACTCAGCAATGCTATGTCATCGGCGAAGCACAGGTTACTAAGGTACTCTCCATTAACTCTTATCCCTAACTGTTCCCATTCTAGGCTTCTGAAAACCTCCTGTAAGCATGCAATAAATAGCATTGGGGAGATTGTGTGCCCCTGCCTTACACCCTTCTTGATTGGTATTCTGTTGCTTTCTTTATCAAGCACTATGGTAGCAGTTGATCCCCTGTAGATTTCTTCCAGGATGTTTATATATACTTCATCGACGCCCTGATTCCGCAGTGTCTGCATGACGGCTGATATTTCTACTGAATCAAACACCTTCTCGTAATCTATGAAGGCTATGTATAGTGGTTGGTTATATTCTGAGCATTTCTCTATTACCTGATTGATAGTATGAATGTGGTCGATTGTTGAGTAGCCTGTTCGGAATCCTGCTTGTTCCTTTGATTGATTGAATTCTAATGTTTTCTTTACTCTGTTAGCAATTACCTTTGTAAATAGCTTGTATACTACAGAAAGCAAGCTAATCGGCCTGTAATTCTTCAAGTCCTTGTCATCTCCTTTCTTATGTATTAAGGTGATGTTAGCGTTCTTCCAAGACTCTGGTACTCTTCCTGTCAGGAGACACCTCGTAAACAGGGTGGCTAGTTTTTCTAACACAATCTGTCCTCCATCTTTCAGCAGATCTGACGTTACCTGATCTTCACCAGCAGCTTTGCCTCTTTGCATGCTCTCCAACGCTTTTCTGACTTCTATCATTACTGGTGGGGTGTCATCTGGGTTACTGCTAGTTCTTATAGTATTAAAGTCGTGGTTGCCCCGGCTACTGTACAGATCTCTGTAAAACTCCTCCGCTATTTTAACTATCCTATCCATATTGGTAGTTATTTTGCCTTCTTTATCCCCTAGTGCATACATCCGATTTTTGCCTATCCCAAGTTTCTTCTTCACTGCTTTGACGCTACCTCAGTTTTTCAGAGAGTGTTCAATTCTCTCCATGTTATACCTTCTTACATCGGATACCTTTTGCCTATTAATCAACTTGGAAAGCTCTGCCAGTTCTATTTTGTCTGTTGTACTTGAGAGTTTCATGATTTGACGCTTCTTAATGAGATTCTTCGTTTCCTGGGAAAGCTTGCCAGTGTCCTGTCTAACTACCCTGCCTCCAACTTCCACTGCACACTCCGTAATGATACTCATTAGATTATCATTCATTGTATTTATGCTAAGGTGGGTTCCTCACTAAGAGCCGAGTACCTGTTCTGAAGCGAGACTCTGAATTCCTGTACTTTCCCTCTCAGTGCTAGCTCACTGATTGGCTTCTTGCGTATCAGTTTCTGTCGTTCCTTCCTCAAGTCTAGGCGAATTCGAGACCGTACCATTCTATGGTCACTGCATCGTACCTTGCCAACCACTTCCACATCCTGCACGATGCCTGGGTGTGCACTCATTATAAAGTCTATTTCGTTCTTATTTTCGCCATTAGGGCTCCTCCATGTCCACTTGCGGTTTCCTCGTTTTCGGTAGAAGGTATTCAAAATCCGTAAATTATTGCGTTCTGCGAATTCTACTAGTAGCTCTCCTCTGGCGTTTCTAGTACCGATGCCATAATCTCCTACTGCCTGGTCTCCAGCCTGCTTGTTCCCTACCTTTGCATTAAAGTCTCCCATCAGTATTGTATACTGTGTTTTTACCTTACTCATTGCCGATTCTACGTCTTCATAGAAGCTTTCAACTGCCGCGTCATCATGGCTGGATGTGGGCGCGTAAGCCTGTACCACCTTCATCTTGTATCTCTTATTCAGTTTAATTACGATACCTACCACCCTTTCATTAATGCTATAGTATTCCTCTATGTTGCCAGCTATGTTTCTGTGAATTAGGAACCCCACTCCCAGTTCTCTTCTGTCAGCCAAGCCCCGATAGCAAAGGACGTGCCCATTCTGTAGCACCATATAGGCCTCATCTGTCCTCCTAACCTCACTGAGCCCTATTATATCCCATTTAACACCCTCTAGCTCCTTGAATAGTACAGCTAGACTTCCCTCACTAGAAAAAAAAAAAAAAAAACGTGTGGTGATGGAACTGCATTACAAGGCCTGGGGTGCGGCCTCACCGGTAACCCCCGCCGGGAACGCACTCCCTCACCAGAGAAGGATTGGCCACCCTGGTGCAGTATCTGGCCACTACCTCCCACATGCATACGTCCAATAACTCACAGCCCTCAGTCCCCAGCAGCTGTGAAGCAACTGACCACGGCGGCGGTCAGATCTGCAACGCAGCAGAGGGTGCTAAGAATCTAATCGTGTAGGGTAAATTTATTCTCTGTCGGTGAACACCACCAAAGGTAAATTACAAGCAAAAGCTAGGTGCACATCATATTTTGACCGCATTGCTGTGTAAAGCAGTTGGTAAGTTGTGCTTTGTCGTAAAAACTATCATCATCATGAACTGGCTGCCCTTTTTATATCCTTTACAGTTAAGTTGTTCAAGCTACTGGCAACTCGTGCACCGTTATGCTAAACTCGTCAGGCGGGTATATGGATCACAGGAATTGCGAAAGACCCAGTGTAGTGTTCAGTAGGTGCGAGCGTCAAACTGAAATAAACAAGTGAAAGAGAGAGGACAATAGAAAATAACAGAGAGGAAGAGAAATAGAAATAAAAAGAAAGTATTAGAAGGAGGAAGAGAGAAATGCAGAGAAATAAAGAGAATGAACACATGAAAAAATTAAAAAATAGAAAAACACAGAAAAAGAGAAAGGAACAGAATAATAATGGTCACCCAGCTCAGCTCTTCGGGCTAGACACCACAGGGGCGAAAGTGCTACAGTTTTTTTCTTTCTTTCGCTCTGAACTCTCTTTTGCCCTGACGGCTCTCCACGGTTTCTTATTCGCCAACCACTCGTGCCATGTCAGTGTGGTGTCCTATGGTAGCCTGGAGGCCGACGCGTCCCACTTCACACTATAGAGTTCCAAACTGCTCATGTGTCCGGTAACATGAATAGCGGTTTTGAAACTGCCCTCAAAAGTGAAATTTGGGGTTAAATAGCGTAAATGAAAGCACCAATCTAGAAAATAGGCATTTTTAGTTTTTTATAGGCATTTAGGAACAAATGCCAAAAATAGCCACTATAAAAACACTATAACATCCCTTCTTAACATTGAATTCATGCTCAAATGCCAAAATGGCAAGATGAGAATGCAAGAAACAAAAAAGGCATTTGCCTAAAATACAGTCTCTAGCAATGAGATTAGACAATTGGCATTCATAAAACGAAGTTGGCTGACTTAAGCGGATATCGCAGAGAAAGGCCTTCGAAATAAAGCAGGATGACATTGATGAGAACTTTGCACACAAAAGATATTGCACACACAAAATATTGATCAAGTGCAATGTGCGCTGTTGAACCAAACATGTGGCATATGCTTCCTCTGTAAAAAAAAAGAGAGAGAGAGAGAGGAAAAAAAAAAACTGATAGTCGGGAAAGTGGAAATGCTGGGGTGAGCTTACTGTGATCTAGCCTTTTCAGCCGGTTACTAAGCATGGTAAAAAAGAATAAAAAAGAAAAGGTAGAATGTGACGACTAGAGGAACAAGGCAAAAGCAAGGAAAAATAAAATAAAAAAATCAATGCATACATTCCAAGAAGCACCAAGCATCATGAAAGCTTCTCGAAACGACTAGAAAGGTATGCGGACATCTAGGTATATTATACGACGTCGAATAAACGTTTCCCACAGGAAGTTTTTCAGAAAATGTTGAAAAAGCGTTCTCTAAAAAAAGGTCTTTTTCCAAACGTTTACTACAAAATATTTTCTAGAACTTTTGGTAGCCTGTTTGCGGCTCAATTCTCAGTCCCTTTATGTATATGTACGTAAACCATATTTACGATTAAGAGCGTATATACGTTGTTAATAAATATTGGTCACCTTAACGGCATATGTGAGTGTACATTTAAAGAAAATGATAGCGTGTTTAAATTTTTTCGAATTTGTGGGATGACTGGTAAACCAATATTGCTGTGCTTTTTTTTAGCCAACCATACACGTGGATGCAAATTCGGCATACTTAAGAGTGCTACTTCGCTGCCAGTAATTCCTTGCCTAATATTAATCATTGCTTAATTGATGAAATAAATTGCAATATGCACACAATCATTATCAATGGGGTTTAATGCTCCAAAATTACGCTGTGATAATGAAAAATGCCGTAGTAGACGGCTTTGGCAATTTCGATCGCCTGAGGGTTCTTTACCGTACACCTAAGCCTCCATCAGAAATGCGGCCGCCGCAATCAGGACTAGATCTCGCGATCTGCACGGGCCCGCAGTCGAGCAGCATATCCACTAGACCACAGTGGCGGGCTCTCTTTAATTACCAAGTTTACTTTGTCCAACGCAGCCACATGTGTAAAAGATGCCGTGCGTTTTCCAGCACAACTCATGCTGGCAAAAAAGAGAACAGAGACACGGGTTAAGTGTACTAACCCCTCTGAAATAAGATAGAATGTTTTGCAGTTCTGAGTAATGCTGACATAAAAAAGCTGTTCCTTAATTTTTTTTTTACCATTTTCCACCCAGCTATACACATTTCATACATTCCAGAACTGCAATAAAGCAATCTGATCATATGGGAAAGTTTTTTTTTTCTGCAAAATTTGACACCCAAGAGATTAACCACCACATTTATTCACAGTGCAAGCAATTTAGTAATATAATTTTCTCCCGGCACCAGAAAGTAACACCTTTGTAAATTCATCAGGCATTTTGCAACTTATTATGCTAAATTCAGACTTGCATTCATTATTTTATTCATATTTTTTTTAGCATGTGCATTCTTCAAAACACCAGGAAAGAAAATATTTTTAAGTGCCATGATAACGCACATGTTGTAGTGTTATCGTTATCTTTGTTCGGGCCAAGCACAATGCTGCCGTATGACGTCACTGGTGTAAAGTGATAAAAAGCGGCTTTTGAATAAACACAAGGTTCTTTTGAGGCAGTGACATCAGAGTGGCGTGTGTCTTGGATACGACATGGTGTCAGAAGTGGAATGAGCCTCCCATTCCCAGTTCCTATTGCGGCGCTCACCCTGCATTTGACCGGCACAATGGCAGCCCCGACTGCCACGATCACAGCCCCGACCACCCCAACTGCCACAATGGCAGCCCCGCCAGCGGCAGGCATCTCGCCACCGACGCCATTCAACTTGGACCGGACTTCCAAATGGCCAAAATGGATCATGTCATTCAATGATTGCCATTATGTATCGGGGCTCAACGAAAGAACGGAGGAAGCCCAGGTGCGAACGCTTTTGTACACCATGGGCAGGCAGGCCAGAAAAATTTTTCAGACTTTCGGCCTTACTGAAGAGGAGTCTCGAGGCTACGAGATGGTCAACAAAAAGCTTTACACCCACTTTGTGGCCATGAAGAATATAGTCTATGAAAGCGCAAATTTTCAGCGCCGCAAGCAAAAACCCGGAGAAAGCACAGACAACTCCGTGACCGCCCTTCACAAGCTTGCCTATCGCTGTGAGTTTGATGAATTCTGAGAGCGAATGATCCGAGACAGATTCGTTGTTGGTCTCGCAGACGCAAAATTGTCAGAAGCGCTCCAGATTATTTCCACCCTTATGCTAGCGACTGCTCTTGCGAAGGCCAGACTCAAGGAAACAGTTCACCGGCAGCAACTGGAACTTCGGGCCGTCAGCAATACGGTGATTACAGGTGAACTTGGAACAATCCAACGAGCATCGAGCAAATATTACCGCACCTGGAAGGACGGGACAACAGGATAGAAATGGCTGTCGCTCCAGCGTTCGTTGCAGGGCCAGAAGCAACGGCAAGGGTGCCAGTTCTGCGAACGTTTAAGCCATGCAAGAGCCCAGAGCCCAGCACGTTCAGCACGGTGTGACCACTGCGGAATCAAGGGACATTTTGCCCACGTATGCCACAAGAGAACCAAACACCAGGTGGGCGTGTCTGCACTAGAAGACTATTTAGAGAACTTTTCTGTTGGGCACTTAACGTATCAAATGCCCGAAACGCGGAAGTGTCTATCAATTGGGTATGTGTAAGTGCTAAAATTGATTCAGGAGCGGAAGTTACTGTTGTTCCAACTGGTTGTTCCAACCGCATACCGTCTTGTACACAGTCTTGTACACCAAGAGCTATTGAAGCTCTTGGTGTGGTCAAATTTCTTGATGTGGTTGAAGATAAACGGTACGAGTACATGTATCCACATCTCTTGTCTGGTTTGGGCTCGATATCTGGGAAATACACTATTCGCGTGAAACAAGAAGATCGCCTTTGCAATTTTTGCACCGTGGCGGATACCAATCCTGTGAAAGAATTCTATCAAAGTAGAGTTGGCCAAAATGGTCAAAAGCCACGTCATTCGGAAGGTCGACAGTCCGACTAAATGGTGTGCAGGAATGGTTCTGGTGGTCAAGCCCTCAGAGGAAGTTCGCATTTGCATGGATCTATCCCAGCTGAACAAGAGAACCCTGCGCGAACGGTTTGTCTTGCCTACAGTAGATCACGCCTTGGGCAGCTGGCAGGAGCCACCTACTTTTCGAAATTGAATGCCAATTCAGGGTTTCATCAGGTAAAATTGGCTAAAGAAAGTCAAAAGCTCACAACATTTATATCACAATTTGGTAGGTGCTGCTTCCAGCGAATGCCGTTCGGTATCACCTCGGCCCCGGAGTACTTTCAAAAGAGAATGGCAGAAATCTTCGATGGCCTCCAAGTGGTGGTAAATTTGATGTACAATGTATTAGTTTATAGAGCCACGATGCATGAACAAGATGAATGGTTGCACGAAGTGCTGAAAAGGTTGGTTGCAGTTGGGGTGACACTCAATCGAGCCAAAATTTCTTTTTGTGTCACTAAAGAGGGGTTTTAAGGCTACATAGTTGATGTCTCTCGAATTAGGCCAGATCCTAAGAAAGTTTGAGCCATAAACGAAATGTCTACGCCATCAAGTGTTGATGATGTCCTCAAGTTTTTGCTCCAGCCCCATGTACCCGCAGTCAAACGGAGAAGCCGAACGTACAGTGCAGACGGTAAAACGGACGTTGGAAAAATCTGCTGACTCTTACCTGGCCATTCTAGCGTACAAGGACTCCCCTGGTCCCTTGGTTAAAAGTCTAGCCCAGCTGCTGATGGGCAGGAGGTTACGTTCTATGCTCTTCCTACACCCAAAAAAAACTTGTGCCATCTTAAACGCCTCCAATACAAGGAAAATATATTTCAAAATAAACAAAGGCTCAACTACGACCGTCGCCATGCTGTAACTCTGTTACCACAATTTGTCCAGGGAAATTGAGTATGATTACAAGACAGCAAAATTCCAGCAATGGTGCTCAGTCCAGCCCAGCGGCCTTGGTCATATCAGGTGCGGATAGACAACGAAACCGAGGTAGAAATAGAAGGGCATTGATTAGATACAGAGAGCGAACCTGCGCGCATGACCAATTTTTTTACTTTCCCGTGAATCCGAACGCTGCAGGGCAATCTGAGGAACTCTAGCCCTCGACAGAGCATTCTGTGCTCATTTTATTGCCAGCGGCTTCCTTGAATAGCGGAAGACCTGGTCGTTACGTGACATGCTATGGTTGAGAAATAAGGCCACCACAGCGATACAGCTACACTTTAAACTTGCAGCAGACAGTTCTGTGCTGGTGCAATTCATACTGCTTTGTTTCTGTGTGTGTTACAATACTTCCTAAAAAAAAAAGGAAGGATGTAGTGTCTCGTTATCTATGTTCGGGCCAAGCACTGCGCTGCCCTATGACATCACTGGTGTAAAGTGATAAAAAGCGGCTGTTAAATAAACACGGGGTTCTTTTGAGGCAGTGACATCGGAGTGGCGTGTGTCTTTCAATCGCATCATACCGCTCGGCTTAGAGAGGATACGACACATGTAGATGATGCACTAGATTATGTAATAATTTAGCTTAACAGTCAAGTATGTAGTAGTCCTATAGGTATAGAAGTAAACTACATAAGTGAAAAAACAAAAAAATGCCAAGGTCTGTGAAATAAAAGTAAGAAATTGCTAATAACGCTGGTGGAAGTTGAAAGAGTGTGATGCAAGTACTTAAAGCCATGCAATTTGCTACATCTACTAAATGTTACAATGCCAATGCAGGTACACAATAAAAACAAGCTGAAGCCAACCACTCACCTGAGTTTTCAACTGAAACTTTGCAGCTAGATCTTCAAGAATGACAACCTTTTCTTTCTGAAAAAGTGAACAGCACCAAAGATGAATTAGTCCCGTATCTGCAGCAGGCTACATAGTTCAGAATAAACACAGCCTGGATGTACCCACTCCTAATGTAAGACCCATTCAGTGGGTCTTTAAGGAATAAAAAATGAAATAAAATGAAACCTGCAATAGCAATAACAGCAGTGAAGAGGATAGGTTAGCTTGAATGAAATGGCACCATAGCAAAATTGTAAAGAGCCCCACCGTGGTGGTCTAGTAGCTAAGCTACTCGGCTGCTGACCCGCAGGTCGCGGGATGAAATCCCGGCTGCAGCGGCTGCATTTTCGATGGAGGTGAAAATGCTGTAGGCCCGCGTACTCAGATTTGGGTGCACATTAAAGAACACCCAGATGGTCAAAATTTCCGGAGCCTTCCACTACAGCGTCTCTCATAATCACATGGTTGTTTTGGGACTTAAACCCTACATATCAATCAATCACAATTGTAAAGGTGTCATCATGAGGGCATCATAATACCTTACTACAGTTATTTTGACAAAGGAGCCAAAGTTATTTTCTAAAAACCATTAACTTTGTTAAACCGGTTACCATTAACACCATGCACAATTTAACAAATTGTGGACGACAGATTGATTGATATGTGGGGTTTAACGTCCCAAAATCACTATATGATTATGAGAGACGCCGTAGTGGAGGGCTCCGGAAATTTAGACCACCTGGGGTTCTTTAACGTGCACCCAAATCTGAGCACACGGGCCTACAACATTTCCGCCTCCATCGGAAATGCAGCCGCCGCAGCCGGGATTTGAACCCGCGCCCTGCGGGTCAGCAGCCGAGTACCTTAGCCACTAGACCACCGCGGCGGGGCATGGACGACAGAAAATAGGCTGATATGCAGCCTCAGCAGTCCTCAACCCCACATAATGAGTAGCATGAGGACAACGGCAATAAAAAGGGGCCAATAAAGAAATGAAAAGAAATTATTGCAGAATAGAAGTGAACCACGTAAGCAAAAAAAATTAACACAGGAAAAGATGCCAGGGCACATGAAATTAGTTTTCTTCTGCAAACATAGATCAGGGTTTACCAAAAAAACAAATTAATTAATAAAAATTATTAGATTGAACATAGTTTAACAATTATGGTAAGGAATAACACAAGCTCCAAGGTCAGTGCTCAGATGATGAGACAACTTTCCAATACTCAGTGTCTTGTTGAATAATAGCGCTCATTTGCATACCTGCCAAGTTCAAGGATTCTGACTCGAGATTTCCACAAGGATTGGCGGAGGACGCGCTTGTACATTTGTCGCCTTTTCAAACAACAACAACAACAAAAAAAATCGCGAAATCACCGCAAAAAATGGGGGGGGAGCCCAAACAGCCCCGCAAGCGTAAGCATTGGTGTCATGATCTCATAATGGTGTGGAGTTGCCGAACACACGAGGGTAGGGTTTCCCAACTACAGCAGACAGTGAGACTCTCAAAGGGGGAGTGCAAATACTCCCGAAATTCAGTGTTATGATAACAACTAGCAAAATCACTTCTGTCAAGAGAACTGGCGTATGTCTTCCAGGGACACACGTGAGCAAAGGTTATGGAGCAGCTAGCTGCCGTGAAAGCATAGGTCAAAGCTTCCCTACATTGCTAGATTCTTTGGACAAGAACACCAAAACACTTGTAGCCTTTTTCACGTCTTTATTGCCTTTAATCTACCACTGCATTTGCCGTGTGCCCTCGGCTAGTAGTCGCTATTCATAATCGCACTGCAGCAATCGCGGTTTCACGCATGGCGGTTGCAGAAAACGGTATTTCCGTCTTCAATCTGCGTGCACTGGCTGCGCATGTGCCTTCAAAACTAAGTAATTTTTTGCTGTCTATGATCGCATTTGCCGCAGTGTTTGCGGAAAACAACGCCGCTTTGACTGATTGCGTGTTGGACGTGAGCACACTTTGGGAGTGCTGTCAGTTACGTCCTCGCCATACATGACCATGTCAAGAGTGATCGCAGTTTCGTCCACAACGGTTGTGGCAAACGGCAACTACACGCGTAGAAAACAGTTCGTGTGCTGGCCGTGTGCGTAGTTCTTCCGAAGCTTTGAGCATGCTGCTCTCGGGCTTTGTTTGGCGGTTTCGGTACTAAAGTTCATATGACGAAAAATGTTCGGAGCATACAAATTTGGCCCAATCAACACAGTGGAATTTGACTGGAAAATTTCACGAATTCATATCTGGACTGGATTGACCAGCATTTTTTTGAATGTGGAAAGATCGCACACAGAAATTTCGACTTCAGGGAAATTATCATGACAACTGTACAAACGTAAGATACGGTCAAATTCGGGAGTCCGGGAACAGGTATGCATTTGCATTTATTTGCACTACAGAAGAAGTCTCCTACATGCAGCGCACAGGTTGAACCCTTTCACTAGCGGACCAGCTTGCAAATGACTGTTTTCATCTCATTAAAAAAATATTTTCGTAACAAGTACTGAGTTCTTGAGCTTCATAGTTTCAGTTTCAATTTATTACTTCATATTCATACTGACTTAATATTCATTTTAATAATCAGACAAGACTGATCTCAAGCATCTTTTTCATGAGGCATCTCATCCAGTCATCGTTTGCTAAAACATAACTGTAGAACAACTAATTTATACTTCAAAATCGGCGTCCATTCTCAAGATCAATATCGGTACATTTCTAAAAACTGGTACCTATTGCAAATAAAGACAAACCTCTTTTTCAAATGGCAATGGCAACATTTTTTCCTAAACTGCATGCCTCACCCCCCCCCCCCCCCTCTTCTACTCCAACCTGCTTCATAGTCCCAGCCCAGTGGGAGACAAAGTTTCATGACTGCTAGCTGAGACGAGTTTGAGACCACTGTGCCAGTGTATCAAAGTTATGTATATTAGTATGTCTGACTTGATATTCAAGTTTATGAGCACAAGGCTAAGTGAACCAGCTTGAAGCTTTGTGCTCTACTCTGATGTCCTCAGTGTTTGCTTGCCTGATCAGCATTTTGTGAGCATCATGCCAAAGCACTGCAAAATTAATATAATACAGCTCCCTTCTTCATGCACAGGTGTAGGCTTTAAACAAAAAAAAACAATAAAACCTTGACAATGGCACATACTTAAATAACATTATTCGTACAAGACCGAATTAATTGGCGGAACGTCGGAGAGGCCTTTGCCCTGCGGTAGGCGTAGTCATGCTGCTGCTGATGATGGCGACCTAACTTGTTTGCCTTGTTCTATCATCCGGCTAGTAAAATGCTATGAACTAAGCAGTAGCCAAGAACGTTAAAGCACATTGCATAATGTGACACTCTCAACCCCGTATTCACAAACGCTCCTCGACTGGACTTCCACCCTTCACTTGACAGAGTTGAGCACTGCGCCACCACTCGGCTGAAAATGACGCTGCGTTAGTCGAAAATCGCAGCAGATTATCGCTACTATGCAGTTACTTGCCGTGCCTAGAAACAGCGCTCCCGTCGGCTTTCTCAAGTGAAGGTGAGGGGTTGAGTGAAGGGACGTTCTAGAATACGGGGGTTAGTCGAACATGTGTACCAGTTCATTTGTAGCAGTCATGCAATAGCAATAGGGTGTGGAAATACCAGGAGCAGAAGCATAGTAGCCGACCATCGTTGAAGTGCACCTAGTTTTATGCTTTGCCTTTTGTCCAATGAGCTTGCCATTAGCCTCATACGGATTTTGTAATGTAGTGCGGCCAGGTTTAGCTTCATTGTCATAATGCGAACAGTAAATCTTTTTTATAAGCTAAACAATACACAGTAGACTCTCAGTAAATGGAAATCTGTAACACGAAACTACTGCTTAAGCAGAACTATTGCCTCTGCAATACTTGGTTTTGGGCTTGTATTCTGCACCTATGTTCAACTCTCAGTAAACGAAACTCCTGTTAAACGGAACATATTTTCCTGCTCCCTTCAGGTTCCGTTTACTGAGAGTCTGAAAAACAATCAGCAGGAACTGAAAAACAATCAGCAGGCAAAGGGCTAAAGAAAACAAGAACGCAACCAAAGAGAAAAGCAAGCTGCACTCTCCCACCTTTATATGGTCAAGAAATTCTTGTAGCTTGTTTTGAGCCTGTGAAGAAAGAAAACTTAACTCAACAACAGCAGTCAATACTATAATTGAAGAAGAAAACAGTAAATGCTGTAAGCACAATATTTACAGAATTTGTCCATCTTCTTTACCTGTACATATAATCATCATCACTGTGAGCACCCTCGCAATATTTAAAGTTTATAATCTAATAACCTGTTTTCTTCATTCTTAGATAATCTGCAACAATATGGAACAATTCAGCCAATGACTATTCTTATTAAAGAACTCCTGACAGCCAAATTTGAACTCAATAGCATTAAAGAGCTTGTTTCTCAGAAATCGCAAGGTCGATGTCGCTGGTTGTGATCGAAAAGTCATCTTGTCCATGATAGAAAAATAGAGAAAGATGTAAACAAAATAAATCACAAAAATCTCAGGTTACAGTGAGAATTGAACCCAGGCCGTCTGCATAGCAAATGAGTCTTCCATTACAATGCTACACTACTGCTTGAAACTGCTTAAATAAATAAATAAATAAATAAATAAAAATAAATAAACAAAACACCATATGAATGTCATGGAGTGAAAACAGTCTTCTCAATGCATATGAAACTGTGTGGCAAAAGCGTAGAATTGCACCAGGCATCAAAACATGTCAATTGTGCTACAAATGGCTGTTTTAAAGACTCAACCATTACAAAGTGCTCAGACATACTTATTCATCATCAGAAGCACCAAATCATTTACAAAATGAACAGTTGGGCAGCTTCATATGGTGCCTTATGGATACGTAATGGGCCCTGCGTCGATTTGTAAAAGGAACAATAATAGCGTAGTCAGCACTAAACGACTTTTCCTGCAGTAGGCATACAGGCATAGTTTCAAACGGCTAATTTTATGTACATAGTCGTTTTTTTAGCTAGCTAGACAACAGAGCAGTTGTGGTTTTTGTGCACAAGGAGCAATCAGTTTCAATAACACCCTGAAAATTTAATGATGAATATCTCTAATGACATTCAACTTCTGTGATTTCTAAAAAAACAGGTGGGCCATAAAATGTAATGTACTAAAGCTTTCTAGTATAAGCACGCGCCTTCAAGACAATTATAAAAATAACAAAATATTTTAGTTAATTATTGCAAAATTGTCATTTGAGCTAGGACAAAATATTTCCACCTCGATGACATGCTCATGTGCAAAAACGACAGGATCCTTACTCCTTGAATATTTATAACAAAGTTTGTACAGACAAAAGAACACCCTGTAGACTATTTTCTGTAAAACATTTGGGCACCACCATGTAGGGCTGTCAAGCCAATGTTTTATTATTTTTGTACATGCTTAAGATCATGAAATATTGTTTACGGCTAATAAACCTCCACCAGTGTCGCAACGTGCAAAGAACAGGACACAAGGCTTCCTTTCGACGTTAACAGCAAGGCTCTATTCACACACAAAAACAAAACGCAAGAGCAGACGCGCAACGTTGTCTTCCTCAAAAAACGCCAGAGACTGCCGCTCGTGATGCTGGCTTCTTCCTCCTTTTGTGTTTACAGCTAATAACCGTGACAATATCATATGTACCAACCAAAGCATTTTCACGCCTATGCGTACGCTGTAACACTGTTCGTGTAGTTGTGAAAGATACAAAACACAAAGGTGAACAGCTCAGTATGATTGCACTCAAACCCATCTGTAAAATAGCCTATAGCCAGTGGGGCATTCTACTGGGTCAAAACTATGCAGCTGCAGACCTATCACACCAGTGCTTTATGTAATTAGTGAGCATGAATGTAGGAAAAGGTGTTGAAGTGATTGTTTTATCCCGCATGCATTTTATTCATACTTGCTATAGTACACAAGTGTTGTTTGTAGCAAGAGAACTTGTGAACTCGGGACAGGAGATGACCCCACTACAACCAATAGGAGTGTTTTCCAGGTGAGGCTAGTTACATACCTCTTCTTCAGTTGCAGCATCGAATCCTTCTCCTTCAACTGAGAATGCTTCCTTCAACTTGAGATATTCCTCTAGTTCCTGTTTTTCCTTCTCTTCCTTTAGCCGCTTTTCTTCTGCTTCCTGAAACAAAATCAAATACATCCTGATGCATGCATACCCTAAGTGAAAAAAATGAAAAAGGGAGAAAAATTCCGTGGAGGTTTTATATATGAATACCACAACATAAGGAACGGACTCTGAACAATTTTGACTACTTGTGCTCCCTAACCTGCAGTGAAATTGAAGCAAATGACGATTATTGCATTTCAACCTCATCAAAATGCAGCCACCAGTGCTGGAAATTGAACCTGCAACTGTGTGCTTAGCAGCAGAATGACATGGCTGCCAATCTACCAAGTAATATAATATGTGGGATTTTATTCGCCAAAACCACGATATGATTATGAGGTACACTGTAGTGGAGGGCTCTAGAAATTATGACTGTCTGGTGTTTTTTAATGTGCACTGATATATACACAATAAATGGACCTCTAACATTTCGCTTCTATTGAAATGCAAGCGCCACAGCCAGGATCGAACCCACAACTTTAGAGCCAAAGCCGAGCACTGCACCCACCACAATACCACGGCGTACGTCAATCTATCGTGGTGAAGGCCCATAAATGTAGAGCACTCGGCAATGAATGACAATGAAGCCATATTTTTTTCTAGTGGAATTACAGAGATAACTGGTTGCAGGGCCACGCTCTCAAAACAGGACACCACTCTGCGGTACGACAATAACACATACAGTCCGAAGAACCACATCGACAACACCGGTTTTTCAATTTGCAAAAGCAGTAAATGACACAAATTTTAACAACGGAGCTGCTTAAGCCATGCATTGCTGTGTGACACATGAAAACATATGCTCATCTTCACGAACCAGCATGCACAGAGTTCGTCCACTTCATCTTATACCTCACTACCGTAACATCTGCACCGATTTGACCAACGTGGTCAAATCAGTGCAGATGATCAATAACTCTGATGGGCGAAAGAACAAGTACAGAGAGAAAGAAAACCAGAAAAAATTCTTGCAAAAAAATACTTTCCAATATATTCTCGAACCCTTGAAATACCTAATGTGGGCTAACTATATTTCCTCTTTAACGAACTAGCCATATTAGAAATAGAGTATGGAAACTAACACTTTAAAAATAACAAAGGTATTCGCTGTATGGTTTCAGCCAGAATTTTTCGCCGTTGTTATTACTGTCACTCTACTACTCATTAATTCATTCTCACATTAATTATGACATGATGTACAGGGGTAACACCTGTAACACTCACTTGGCTTTTCTTCATGTATTACAGAACCAGTCAATAAAAATCATTACTAACAGTTAATGTTTTCCTAACGGTAAATGCATACTTCATGATAACAAGACCCTATTCATCTTGGAGCTCCTCAAGTACAACTTAGGTATCATATTTTCTAAATACATAACCAAGGCACTACCTCCAATCTCATCCTCAATTACTGACTTGATTGCCCACAGTAATACTAGATTTATGCACAACAATAACATTATTTTGCCTAAAGTATGCAGTAATTATGGTAAACAGATTACTGAATTTTGATCAATATTGTTATAAAATAGATTACCAGCTTCTATAGAAAATGCTAGACACATCAATTAAAGACAGAGCTCAAATCACAGATTAGATATGCTTACTAATACCATTCCTTTTTACAGCTTTATTTTGTTTTCTTTTGTGAATATTGTTCTCATTTTGCATGTTTTTTTACGGTTCTACTACATACATGCTTATTCTAATTCATATTTACGGTTAGCGCAACTGTTGCTACAAACACTGTATTACCATTCACTGCCCTTAACACGAGATCCCGATACAGTCTCCGACTTTGGGACCTCCTTATGGATACTAAACATATGTAATATTCCTGCATTTGTGTTAATAAAAAATTCTGATTGATTGGGTGGGGTGGGGGGTCCAACCACTCTTGATGCAGATTTGTGCATGTTTGTATGTGTGCACATTTACACACACACACACACACGCACAAGCAAAATGTAAAAATTGATACTTTCAATGCTGACAGACTAGTGTTTGCTTTCAATTGATACTTTCAATGCTTTCAATTGATCCTTTCAATGCTGACAGACTAGTGTTGCAAGAAACACACATAGCTTTATTTTGAAAATCTTCTTGCCAGCACAATTTAAGCCTAAACATTTTGTTGGCACACAGTTCTTAGAAGTCACAGTTGCCTCGCGGTATCCTAGCTAGACTAGACAAATGTGAAACCTTTAAACCTCATTCCTTTTTTAGGTGCGAAGCTCCTTAGGGTGTGGGTCTGTACATCATATGGGGTGAGTTGTTGGTGATGTACGTAGCCACCGGTGGCAAATGCCCGCTCTAGAGCGGGTATGTACCACAGGAGATGCGAGATGGCGGTACTTGGAGATCCCTGCGAGAAGATGTTGAATCTTCCAACGAGTTTACCATTGCCCTCCTCAATGTTCGTTCCCTCAATGCACATGTGGGTTTTCAACATTGATATCGCAGACACGACCAATAATTGGCTTATCCAACATGTGGCTTCTAGATATGCACTCAGATGTATATCGTATGACCATATGAAACCAACCATGATCCGAGGAACATGCATTGACCTAGTATTTGAAAATTTTCCACTGCAACCTATACAGGAACCGCTCACCCTTCATTTCACGGACCATAAAGCCATCATAATGAAGGGACATCGCAAGCCATCCATCGTCTCTAAGAACAAATAAAAGTTGATTTCTATATATACACACGGTGTTTCTCATGATGTCTTTAGAACATGATCGACTAGGCGAATTACACACGAAAGATTCACAGTTTTACCGATGATTATCTCTGGAGCCTCGCCCACTCGTCATCATTACCCCCGTGAATATGCTGTGATTTGTTTTTAGTGGTTCAGGTTTCAAGGTGTTGTCTTTACATACATGCAGTGCCCGAAGTGGATAACTATAAATGCATTATGCTTTCCTCTATTTCTTTGACTGCTTGTCTATTTTACAGCAATAACAGTGCAATCCTAATGCATCATGTGAAAAAAAAAAACATGTTTTTAATTTATAGAATACCTCCGATAACATGTGTTGACCGATGAGAACTAAGCCCACTCACCCGTTCAGCCTCAAGCTCCTTTTCTCGCTGCTCTTCCTGCTTTCTTCGCTCTTCATCAAGTGCCTGCTTCTGGCGGCGCTCCTCGCGGTCCTCCAAGTCCCTCTAGAAATGAAAAGAACAAATGACATCCATTTACAATACAACTTCCATGTTCCTACTTCCCAAGGCTATGCCTACTTCCTAAGGCTATGCCGTAAAACCTGTTATCTGTCAGTTGTCTCTGTCTGCAATTGCTGCAGGCTACAGAAGGATTCATTATTAAGATAAACAAATTAATGAAGTACAGGGCTGCATGAAGAAAAATATAACATTTCCTAGGTACTCTGCTACATTTCTAGTACTTAGCAGTGTTTTAATTTCTAGTTTTACAACCAACACAAAACAGTGGGTCATAAGCTCAGGCTATGAATGATAGATAGGCAAACGAAACACTGAGGCTGTGCACTGAGAGCATAGGGTAAAAAAAAAAAAAGAAAGAAAAAAATTTAAATTACTTTTTTTTTCTTTGCAATCCGAAGTGTATCACTTAATGCATATTTTCCCTAATCGTGCTTTTAAGAGTCTTTTTTTTTTGTTACTGAAAAACATGAAAAACAGTTTTTCAGAAAGCAAGTAGTGAGTGAACATGCACCCTCAGACAAGCCCCTTGTATGTGCTCCATGGTTGCGATCGATTTTTTCATTAAAAAAAAATCTTGCACGAAAGCCACAATGCTTGTTCGAAGTCAGCCACATATAAGAAGTCGTCAAATAACTTTGCATACCCGACTTTTCACCTAAGGCAATCTGAGGATGTTCTGCATCTTTTAATTCGCACTTGTTCTTTGTAGTGCATCTAGCTGTTCCAACACTTTTAGCTCCTAGCTTCAATACATCTTGTGCCTCTTAAGATGCTGAGAAGTGAAGGAAGTCTTCAGCAAGCATAAATTTCATGGCAACCAATACAGTTATCTTCTAAATGTGAATGAATGCCGGCAATGTACTGAAGTGCTCTTTCCGAACCAGCAAGCACGTAATCCATGAACCTCCCGGTTTTTTCAGCATCCTTTGATAAGAATCGCATGCAGGGATCGGTGTACTCCTGGATAAACTACTACTTCTGTTTGAGGGGGCGAAGACTAAGCAGTCTTTAACTGACCAAACATTACATCCAACGTCATTTCTCTTTGGGGCACTGATGAGATCACAATGGTGATCCAGCCACTCATTGAACCAGCCACTCATTGAACAGGACGCGGTTGCTTGAAGAAAAAAACTAAAAGGTGGAATATTAAATTTTTTGTGTATCTAGAAAGGCTGCCAATATAGTATAAATGCTGTTAACTTGTTCTCCCGAACATATGAACTATTCGTAAGTTCAATTTTACCGCCCGTACGTAAACATTTCGGAGAATGAAAACATCCTGCTTAGTGCGCTAAGTCACTTAATAATAGAGATTGGTTCTTGGTGTGTCACAGAGAAAAGAAAGCGCAATGATATTTTCAGAACAAGAGGGAAAATTCATCATACACATTAGTATGCTTCAGTTAAGGTCTTTTCATTTTTTTAAGCACAGTTAGCAAAGTTCATAATATTTCAATCAAATGACACTATTTACAGGCAGACAATATAATGACGCGAGAAGTAAGTTGTTCCTAAAACTTTAACAGCAGAACGTGAAATAGGTGCGAAGTGTGCATTATTTGCACGAACGGTGGGTGGAAATTTCAATATTTTTGCAGTCATACACAACACAGAAGGCGCATAGCCAGAAATTCTGCGGGGGGCACCACTTTGATTTCAAGAGGGGCACCCCCTTGAAATGGCCATTTTTCGCTCTCTGTGCCATGGCAAAAAAAATTCGGAGAAAAGAGGGGGAGCACGTGCTCGGTGTGCCACACCCTGGCTACGCCCCTGCAACACAGAAAAGCCAAATGTACAACTGCACATGCTTTTCCTTTATCACTGTTTCACGTGGTCACGAAAGGCTCATTCGTGGCCCAATCAAACAATGCTTAACAAGATGTGTTACTCAATGCCATCAAGCGACCGCTCGCCCACCTGACTTCTCGCACTGCAATTATTTCTTTGTTTTGTTAAGTTTGAATTTATTAAGTTATAGAGACCGCTTATTTCATGCTGTATGTGCCCAACAAGATACATGAAATTGTTTTCATTTCCTGAACAGTGAACACACATGACGAACTCGCCCTGCGTTTCGCCTTTCTTTTAGTTCAGCTAATCACGTTTAGGAGGTTCCGGTATGAGTTTCCATTTCGCAAGCGCACACATAATTATAATATATTTAAAGAAGGTAGACATGTATAATAAAAAGAAACAAATTATTTTATTTACTGTTAGTCCAAGCCGACTAAGAAGTGAAAAGGTGAGTGGCTAAGATGTGAATACCACCACTAATTTATACACAATTTAACCATTTGAAAGAAGAAACACCGCAGAATGTTGACCTGGAAAGGCACCGAAACGCCAAAGCGAAGGTGAAAATGGCTGCGCCAGCTTGTTCGTAGGCGGGAGGAGCGTCTGCTCAAGGAACTCCGACAGCGTACAGCGTTACCACCGCATGTATCGCTGAGCGACAGCGGCGAAGACGGCAGACTAGTCAGTACTATATTCTAGAGACCATAGTGACATTTTCGGCGACTTGAATTCACTCATATGTCGAGAGGATAATGATGCCAGAAAAAGCCGCCTATGACACAGGCAGTCTTCGGCGCAAGCAACATGGTAAAAATACAGGGAAACTGTATGGTGCCACAACGCCTTATCCTAACAGCTTGTTATTTTCAAAAATAGTTGAAAAGCTCAGAAAAAGGCGGTTATACATAGTTACAGGAACTTCTGTGAAAGTAGAACGACAACAGCTTTCACAAATCGCGAGAAGGGCTAGCAGCATCGCTGCTACCAATTCTTAGCGTTGCTGGAGGAAAGGTACATCTGCATTTAGAGCCTTTCAGATCGAAAATACATCTTGTAAAATAACTACGTGCTTTTGGGATTAACTATTGCAGCTACAAACACTAAGAGGAGTGAGCTTTCTGTTGCGCTGTAAAAAAATGGGTCGAGAAAAATCAGTCCCTTTAAACTCGATTATCTTAAAACTATGCTCTTTATTACTTACGTACCATTACTTCTCGAATAGTCCAAGATAACGAGTTAATTACATTTCCTTGTATTCTGTGATGGTGGATAGAACTACTGCACCAGAATCGAAATCATGCAGTTCACAGTTTTTGTGTAACAAGTTTTTAAAAATGAAATTTAATGAAAAATTTATTTCTTAGTGATAAAAAATTCACCAAAAATTTAATATTAGTCAGGTAAATAAATAAATCTGCTTTAGTGAAATGAATAGAAAATTTGGAAGAAAATGATATATGTATCATGTGAATATTTTTTGTTGTTAATGAGAAAACAGTTTCTCAAGATGGTCGAAAATGCATGGGACGTATATGGCTTACCCTGTGACCTTGAAGTAATACAACGAAGCTGCAGTGCTATTGAGCAAATACACTTTCATTCAGTTCATGTAAGTCATAGAAAGAGCTTTATGATTTGTCCACTCAGATAAAGAGGCAGGAACACTGACGTGTGAATGATGCTGCATTGAAGGGTGCAATGCCATCAGTAATGATTCAATGCTGGACGATCAGGGGATACAAGGTAGAGCAAAGAACACAGTTCAAGTAATTGTTAATGATGAATGGCAGAGCTGCCGAAATATACGTGGCTGATATTTACATGGGTAACCAACACTGCACACAGCAGATGTAATTCAGTTGTGCTGAAAAATACCTGGTGTATGTAGTGTTCAAGTGGAGGTCAAGAGCAGAAGAGACAAGTGTGTGCAGCGCAACAACTTACTTCTCTCTGTGCCCGTTTCTCAGCTTTCATTTCAAGCTTCTTGCGCTTCTTAGCTCCAATCTTTCCTTCAGGCATTGCTACCATGTCTTCCAACATTTCATCATCTTCTTCATCATCGTCATCTATTTAAAAAAGGAAAGGATTAATTGATGAAGCCAAATATATTTCTCTCAAGTGGCTTCAAAATAAGGGAATACAGTAACTGCCAAATGACAGGTCCTGAGCAAAGTGCAAATAGCACGCTAGGCGGTCGTCACAATGGCCAGATTTTACAGAAGGGAAGTAATCAAATATGCTTGAAAGGTATGTTATCTATAAAGCAACAGTCAAGTCTTTTGCGCATTCTTTATCTCGCGGCATGCGTCTGGTTTGCCGTATGCGATTGGAATTTCATGAATATAGCCTTAATTGGTGTATGCCGTTCATGAGTTCCGTTCATTTTTAGTGGACCTGCGATGAGTAGCAGTGTTTGGCCAACTTCCTGTGGCATATATGTTTTTGCCCGCGAACTTTTATTTAGTGGGCGAATAATGAGCAGCAGTGCTTGACCAATTTCTGTGGCACATGCCTGAGCTAAGGGGGTTCGCGAACACACAGACACAGCCTAGTCATATACAGCTTCGCAGTAAAACATGTTATCTACAATGCACCACCATTTAGTAATCATAATGGTAAAATGAAACCAATAAGATTCCTTACGCTACATGGTCAGCCATCCCAGAGCACCTTCAAGCGCTCTAAATTGCACTACAGTGTTCGGACAACTGAGCAACTGGAGAATCCTTAAGGATCAGACGCCCACATGCCGAGCACCTGCGCATTCCTCCTTCGTCCAGTATCCCGTAAGCACAAAATAGACTTTTAATCGAGATGAGGAAGAAATAGAATGCAACCGGAAAAACGAACTCGCCTCAGAAGGTTAAGAAAAGGCATGAACCTTTAGCACAAGATTTAACCACTTGCGATAATAGCTAACGGAAAAATCAATTAGCAGCACATGACAGATGCAAGTGGCGACAGCTGGTCCCAAAGAAAACCTTAAAAACACGCCTAGAAGCACATTACTCCCGCACTAGAGAACACTCAGCCAAAGTTTCCGTGGGGGTACGTGACAACGCGACAAGTTCAGGAGACCGAAATGTGCCTATGTTGTTAAAAAGAAACTCACTTGACGTGCTGCCCCTCCAAACGAGCAAGCCGATGAGAATGATAGTGACCAGAGAGATAGCTCCCGTCAAAATCATGATAAGATCAGACATTTTGGGCAGCGACTTTCTAGACACTACACAAGAAAGACGAATTCCTAAGATGCCTCGAAAACTCTATCACAGCTGAAGCACAGCAGCCTCACAGTACGGACCAATCTAGGTGGTGTTGTACGGTCACGGATAGCAGACAGCGTCTGCCACGACCCACGACCGCCACACAATCCGCGCCGCAGTGAGCACACATTCTACAGAATACGTGCCATAAAAAAATATTTATAATATAAAAATTTTAATATATTTTTAATTTTGGTTTGGAGTATTTAGTTTGTGTAAGATAATAAAAGAAAACAACTTTTGTTCAAGTGCGGCGCGCTTGTGTTTTTTTTCTGACGTCACGTAAAGAGCGCGCGCGCGCGCTAAACATTTCGAGTCTCAGCCCTTAACTGTGCCCTTAACAGTTGTAATGCAGTTTGTAATGCAGTCCGATGTAAATTTTCACTTTCCTTTTGAGCCGTACCCAGTGCAACGCGCTTTCATGAAAGCGCTGTACACAGCGCTCAGCGAAAGCAAGGTCGGCATTTTCGAAAGTCCAACAGGCACAGGTAAATCTCTGAGCATTCTGTGCGGTGCGCTGGCATGGTTGAACGAGTACAAGGCATCGAAGAAGTGTTCGATGGAAACAGAATTAGCGGATTTACGAAAGGAGAGTGCGTCATCGGTTGATTCTGGGAATGACTGGTTCATAAAGTGTGCTCAGAAGAGGGTAATAGATCAACAACTACGGGAAGTTGAATGCCGGTATAAAGCACTCATGGACAAAGAAAAGAAGTACAAAGACCATAAAGAGAATGTGAGCAGGCGATCTGTTGCTCGAGATGCAAAAGCCAAAATTGTGTCGCGAGGCACTGATGACATAACCAAAGATGCCGAGTCAATTGCTGGACTGCTGGCCGAAATAAACGAGGACCAAGAGGACATTGTTGGCGACTACGACAGCGATGATGAAACCGCGCGTAGTATTGACGGCGATGAAGTGTCCGAAGCTTTGACTGAACCGAAAATAATTTATTGCAGCAGAACGCATTCCCAATTAACGCAGTTTGTGAGAGAACTGAAGAAAACCGTGTACCGTGACAACATTCGCACAGTGACACTCGCATCTCGAGGTAATCTGTGCATCAACGACATGGTAATGAAGCTGGGTAACCTGTCATTAGTAAATGATCGCTGTTTGGACATGCAGAAAGCATCATCTAAGCCAAAGGTAACAGCTTCACCTGAACATAAGCGTACCAAGAAAAACACAGCTGGCAAATGCCCCTTCTACAGGCCCCAGGCTATGGAATCCATGGCAATGGACATTCTGACTGAAGTTCAAGACATCGAACAAGTGGTTCACCATGCAAGGAAGGAAAAAACCTGCCCTTACTATTCATCACGATATGCAACACCAGATGCAGAACTAGTGCTTATTCCGTACAATATCCTTTTGCAGAAGACAACAAGGGAGGCATGCAAGCTTGACCTAAAAGGCAGTGTTGTGATAATTGATGAAGCGCACAATCTTCTTGAAACCATCAGTGATTTGCATAGTGTATGCTTAAAGTTGACTCACCTCAAGGATGTCCAGCGTGTGCTTGGTGAATACTACAATCGCTACCATGCCCGAATGAGCACCAAGAATATATTGTACATTAAGCAGGTCCTTCATGTACTGAAGTGCTTCATATCTTACCTAACGGGGCCTGGCAAAGAGGCTGTTCAAAGTGATGTTTCAACAATGTGCACAGTACCTACACTTCTGGACAACACTGGGTTAGGTGCAATTAATTTCTTCAAGGTTGCTAGCTACTTGGAACAAAGTCAGATTGCCCTTAAGGTTAATTCCTTTGCAAAAAAGGCTACTGTTGCATTAGAAAAAAAATCTGAGAACTTGGAAGCTGCCAAGCTGTCCAGCTTCATTCATTCCATGAAAAAACGCAATTCAAAACAGTTCGTGCCCATGGAGGAGGCATCTACAGAGCAGGCCAAAGACTGTTTTGTTGCATCTGGAAATCCTATGATAACACTACAGGAGTTCATTCATAAACTTTCAGACTCCAGCCGTGATGGCCAAGTGTTGGTGCACAAGGCTAAGTGCACAGAACACTCATTCTTAAAGTACCTGCTCCTCAGTCCTGCCAATAATTTCAGAGATATTGCATCTGAAGCACGTTCAATAATTTTGGCCGGAGGTACTATGCAACCTACAAGTGAGTTTGTGGACCAACTCCTAATTCCTGCCGGAGTGTCTCCAGAGCGTGTCATGCATTTCTCATGTGGCCATGTTGTTGCTAAAGACAACCTATCCGTAATAGCCTTAGGTCAGGGACCCACTGGCAGAGTCTTTGAATTTACCTTCAAGAACAAAATGGACCCCGAGATGATTGACGAACTTGGCAGGGTGCTAGGTAATGTGACGAGGGTTGTTCCAGGTGGCATTGTGTGCTTCTTTCCATCATACGAATATGAACGTGCTGTTTCGCAAAGGTGGAAAGAAACTGGAGTCCTCGAAAAGATTTCTACGAAGAAGCATATTTTTCACGAGCCTTTGAAGTCTTCAGAGCTTGAGAACACTTTAGCACAGTACGGCCAATGTGCCAAAGCTACATCTGGTTCAGAACCCATGACGGGGGCCATCCTCTTTTCAGTAGTAGGCGGAAAGATGAGCGAGGGCATCAATTTTTCTGATGATATGGGTCGGTGCATCGTTATGGTCGGCCTTCCTTTTCCCAATGCTAAAGCACCAGAAATGTCGAGCAAAATGGAATACTTGACTGCTACGTACTCGCGAACAAATGATGGGCGCACTGCAGGTCAAGCATACTACGAAAGCGTCTGTATGAAAGCAGTGAACCAGTCCATTGGCCGGGCCATTCGTCACAAGGATGACTACGCTGTTATACTGCTGCTTGATCATCGCTACCAGAAAGAAAACATCACAAAAGCCCTGCCAGCATGGATGCAGGACAGCCTCACCCTACCTACAAAATTTGCGCCAGCATTTGCAGCAATTCAGCATTTCTTCCGAGGGCGAAAGAATCTGCAGAGCGTCAGCTGAGGCCTTTGCAAAGTTGGGAAGCCGCTTTTCTGGTACAGTGCTTTGCTGGAAACATTGTGTTAAACCTCTCTTCACTGGCCAGGGTCTGTGTAGGACAGGTTAGTGCTACTGGTGCATTATACTTTACTTATTGCAAGGCCACGCACAAGGTTGTGTCATGAAGCTTTGCGATAGAAGCAAGCAGCACAGATGAAGAAATAAAGACAAGTACTCTAGGTGTTGAACAGGTTGTATTTGCATCGATTCATTCCAACACTCGACAAGCAGATGTTTTGTTTACAGTCGTTGACTTGCATTTCTGTACACACAGCCTTGCATTTCAGCAACTGCCGACAATTTTCATGGAGGTGGTTCAACTTAACAAGGCACAATGATTTTTTCAGTGTGGACAATTTTGTTAGCTTGTCCAATCATGAAGTTCCTAGTCTATGTCAATGCATCAATACTATTGCAGCATAGTTCAGTATTGCTACAACTGTGGGCAAATTATTTTTCAGTGACCTCAAGAGCAGCCAGCTTAACGACGTCAACATCTTGCTCTGTGATAGTCAATGTCGGCACATTTGTAGCACAGTTTTGATGTGTTTAAATTGGACGGTACACAGTTATTATATGGTCCAATGTGGCACCTTGATACAGTCTCTTGTTATCTATTCACACCATACAGTCAAAAGTGCACTGTATAAAGACAATGTTACAGAGGCTACATTGTGTCACAATGAGAAAAAAATGCATAAAAATATATCACGGGGTCTCTTGGATTATGAAAAATCCAAGGCAAATCTTCGTAACAAATATTAAAATCCATTAGCACGATTCCATGTATATAGAATTGTATATAAAAATATGTGTGCCAGACATATGGGCCTAAATTAGACAGACACAGCTAAGAACATTGTTCCTACACTGATTGCCCATTTCTATGTACAAAGCTGCACAACACTTACTTAAAAAGTATAAAACCAGTTGTATAACTTGGAAGGGAGAAAAAAAAAAGTTTACATATGGACGGAATGTTAAGTATGTGTCACATATTGCTCAAAGTGAATGGCATACAGATTAACGAGTAGAAAAGCACTTGATGGTTCAGGTAACGCTCCTAGAAGTATGAGCATAGGCCAAAAACCTGAAGATCCATTGACGATGCCTGGCAATGCTACAACATTAATACGAGTTAAACGAAATTTGGTTACCTATGACACCTTGCTGCTGGCTGCCATACCAGCAGGGTAAACAGATGCCATCAGCACAAAAAGAGGTCATAACAATGGCATTCAAGATCAAACGCTTCCTGGTCAAAGCTTCTATAGGGTCTGTCACTGCACAGTATCAGACTGATGTGGAAAGAAACAGAATGTGTGGCATGGCAGTTAACTGATGCAGTATTACATGGTTTACTTAGACAATACAGGCTTATTTTTACACAAAAATGCTATAACCTGTCGTCTACACATATAAACCCTATATTGAGCCTAAACTTGTATTGAAATAACAAAAACCTGATAATTGCCTTTCCAGTTATTGATATGTAGAAAAGCTGTAGTTTTTGTTAACTGCTCATTTCAATGTACTTCTAGGGGCAGCAAAGTATTTCTGCATCGAAATAGAATTCGTGCATGAAGATGGGTACCAGACTTTCATAAAATTTATAAAAAATCTGTATGTTGTCGTATGGTATTGTTCCCTCACTCTTGTCCCAGTCATAGTTTGTGCTCGAAGTTTCTTACGATGCACTACCTAGGTTGTCTCTCAGTCTTACTTCAGTCTAAAAAAAAAGACACATAACACTGCTTATATCAAGTTTGCCCCAATATGCCTGCACTGGTAATATTCAGATCTACAGCTTCAACTGAGGTCTGTAAATGACAAGATTGTAAAAATGAGAAACAACTAGTTAATGAACGACATAAAAACAAATGCAAAATATTTTTTGATTTCAAAAAATGTGTAAATATAAAAAATGCCCCCCCCCCCCCCCCCCCCAAAAAAAAGAATAATTTTCTAACAGTGAAGAATCAATGCCCACTCTTCTACGCAAAAGTGTTGCATTTCACTTAAAAGAAACGTTATGACCAAGGTGATATGTTGTACACTGAATAAACCAACCACATGTTGTGCTTCCATCTACTTTTCAAAATAGTTTTTAGTCCACTTTTATAAATAGTTTGCAATGCCAACAATGCTCCAAAGAAAATTGAGAGACAGTGATTATTGGTCATCAGAAGCTAAAAACACCAGCAGAACTGCAAAACCATTCTACATTTCAATACAAACTTCCACAGCTGCTCAATGTTGGTAATGCATGCATTAAGAAACAATTTGCCAACTAGAAATAGCTTAAATGTGTGAAGAACTGTACTCATTTAAACCATGGAATAACAAAGTAGTATTATTTGGAACAAACTTCACCATATTGGAAACTTTACAAGTACTCCGTGAATGTTTTATGAGTACACAATGCAATTTTAGAAAGGAAACATAGACAACAACCCGTTTGTGGCACGAAGCCACAAGAAAATTTGTACGGATTTCATAGAAAGAAAAACTTGGTTGCCAGAAAATTCATCCTGCTCTAGGGGTCAAACCCGGGACCAACGCTTTTCTGGGGTGGCCGTTCTATCAATTCAGCTAATCAGGAAGCCACCAAATGGCAGCGCGAGGGGGAATTCATCGACAACTCGAAGTACATGGACACAAGTAATGCTAATACGCAGAACTTATTTGCACTGCAATTTTAGGTGTGCTGCATGCCTCAAACGTTAAAAATTGAGTAAGCAGCTTCATCACAACTTCCTTTGTCTCTAAGAATAACTGCACTACTTACCTTAGTATTTCGACTGCAGCACTCCAAAGTGTGCACAAACAAAGCCCGCTGTGACAAATTTTCTCTCTCAGTCAGCCTGTGTGTCTCCATTTATAGCTATACAATCACAGCAGTAGTTTTCAAAAAGCAAATGTGAGCAGTCTAGTTAACAATGAATTGCATGAACTCAGCACAACTGGATTTATAGCTAAAAATGTAGATCACCATGTTATAATCAAAGGTACACGTAGCAGGGCATAGCCAGAAATTTTTTTTTGGAAAAAAAAGGGGGGGGGGGGCATAGTCTTACTCCCTTTATGAATGTTTGTGTGCATGTGCATAGATATATACATAAAAATTCATTTTTTTTCCTGGGAGAGGGGTTAGGAGGGGATTAACCCCTGAAACAACCGCCCTGGCTATGCCACAGACAGGCAGCACAAATTTTCGTTCATATTTCATAATGAATATTTAATATCTACGTACCTGGGCCACACTATAATAGCGTGAACTTCACCAAAGCATGCCGCTGACTTTGTACAGCACACCATCCTTCTAGAAGTTTCAGGTAAGTGAAACGTTTTGTGTTATCGCTCTTTGCACTTCAATGTCAGACCCATAAAATACATGCCACTATAGTGGCACACCATAGTGCTTTGTTATACTCAAAACAAATGGATGACACATTATTCTTTTATGTCATCACAATTGTTTAGGAATGCACTCATGGGGCTCTAATTTGGTCACATAACCGAGAGAAATGTAGAGAAAAGAAAAAAGCAAAGAGAGAAAGGAAGAAGGGCACCAGGATATGTGTACAAGAGCTGCAAAGGCACCTCGGGTTTTTAAACAGGCATTCGCAATATGTACTGATTAATCATTAAACTAAAATCAAAGGTGTTTCAGGTGTACTACGAAGGCCTCGTTCCCGATTCACAGATTGTGAACAAGGCCACAAGTGTGGGGCCGAAACACCTTATTTTATTTTAATGATTGGTCATTGTATGCTATTTACTGCTGTGAATATTCCTGATTAGACAGATTTCCTTTGAATGCTTCATGTTGCTGTAAGAAATAATAGAAGCTGATAAAGTAAGCAAGCAAATAAAAGAATTAAAACACTCAAGTGATTCTGTTGACAAGCGTCCTGTAAAGTGTAGTCGCCTTACGAGATTGAACTCCATAAATTCATTAACACTTTAAAAAGAAGTGCTTATTTCTGCTCTTATTTTTTCATGCACACAAACTGGTAAAAAAATCATCCTCTCTTCAGCAGTTAGTGTATTACAGTGATGAAAAGTAGCACAATGTGATTCAGAACATCAAGAAAATATCTTACATTTGGAGCTTTCAGCTCTTGATGATGGATAAATGTTTCATTAGCTCATGGCAAGAAGGGCAATACTTTCAAGGAGCCCTGCAACACTTTTTCAAGTAATAAGTGAATGGCTTCCTCAAGGAGTTTATTGTCTCATGAATCGACAGACTTTGAACTCCTTCTTTTCTTTTTTTTTCCCCATGTGGCTTACTTTTAGCATGATTGGAAGCATGCTGCTGCAATTCTATACAGCGTGTGATTCTAGTACTATAAAGCATAGCATGGAGGTGTTGCAGCATCAAATGACGTCCGTGGTAACTACCCATTTCACAATATTCTAATGAGCGAACGGCCCTGTTTTTTGTGCTTAAGGTGTGGTAATTTTCACTTACAATACCATTTGTCAAGAACTGGGTGAGCGACTTCTAGCCCGCTTGGAAATTGCTGTGTGCTACGTGTTTGGCTCATATATTTGCAGGAGTCTCAACTACCAATCAGCAACATATTCTGACTATGTTCAAAATGTGTTGCAGTAAGGTTGAAGTCTGGGTCATTTGGACATTGCGCTGAATGAATAAACCAGTCAAGAAGACAATGGACAAGAGAAAGAAGTGTGTGCCACTTCTCTCCCTTCGTCGTCGTTCTTCTTGACTGGTTTATTCATTTAGCGAAAAGTGTTGCAAGGCCCCTTTAAAGACAAAGCTCAAAACATCGGAATGCACATCCCACTCTCCACCACAACAATATCGAAGAGGTCGAACATTGACCCAATTTAAAGTAGGTCATTTCTAGTAGTACAAAACTCATCCGCCTTTTGAGTTGACAGGGCTTGCATCACATCATGTGCTTAATAGCATGCCAAGTACAAGCCCTGAAACACTTTTTCAAGTAATTGTGGAATGAATTCACTGGAAGAGGTTATTGCCTCACGAATTCAACGCCACAAAAATGTTAAGAATCCGTCCAGTGCGAGTGGAGTTACAAAGGTTTGTCGCGTGCTGCAATTGTATTCTCTCTTCTCTCGTCCTGACGCAAGCGCTGGAAGCTAAGCAGGGAGCGTTGGCAGGGCCACAGAAAAACGTTACGCACGCCTCGCGACCTTGAGCACTTTTTTCTTTTTTTTCCCCCTTCGAATGCGCAACTTTTTCAGTGTGATCGCGCGTGACCTCTCGTGGCTATCTCTATAACGAGCGAGCGCGGCATGTTAAAATCAGCCAATGGCTGACAGATGGGTCATTGACGTGTGATTTCTGGGCATATAACATGATTTGTCGAGAGAAGAGAAAGCAATTTTTAGCTGACTTTGATAATTTATTGTGAATTCCAGGCCGCGTGTTTCGCTCGCGCGTTGTCGGGAGCCTCTACTACCGGTCGGCAGCATTTTCTGACCATGCTCAAAAAGTGTGGCAGGGCCCCTTTAAGTGACCCGAGACAGTCTATCAGCAAGAAAGAGTAAAAAAACCATTACGTCGAGAATTTCAGAAAAAGTATGCACATCAACATGATTGCTATGGACAACCGCACACCACTTGAGCCTCCAGAGCAGTCTACAAGACGTACCGCTTGGAGAAAGTCACTACCCAAATAGTCTACGTAGTTGCGCCTATGCAAAGGCACTGGTTTTAGCTGCTGAGTTGAATCTTGAAAGATCAAATCAGGATGTGCAGCCTCTGACACAAACATTTTGAATGTGAAATCTTCACTGTATTTAGAGCCATAGAACTGCTGTGCATACACAAAGAGGTTGATGTAAGCGTCGATCATGCTTTGTGGTTTGTGCATGCTCGTCACAATGGCATTGGATGCCACTTTTCCTAGGTTACACTGGACATACTTGTCCTGTGGCTGGCGCGAGCCATCCCGACAGACCAGCTCAAAGTCGCCAGGCATGATGTTGCGTGCCCACCACATGCTGTTGCGGCCAGCAGTGTTTTCAAAGACAGTTGTGTGCTTGACAAATGCAATTTGGCCACCGCCCTCAACGAGACAGCGGAAGGCACCAGTGTGGCCGTAGAAGGGCTCCGAAGCATCACGGGCACAGAAGTGGGTACTGGTGCCATGGCATAGGTCGCATAGGTTCTTGTAGCTCCGCTCAGAGCCTACGAATTCCCGGGAAAGTGCCCCGGGCACGCAGCTTTTGGAGAAAAACTCTGAAGCAGAGCGAGCTGAATCACAGCCGTAGGACCGCATGCGCTCATTACTGATCAGAAAACTCAGAGGCACCACCCATCCAGCAGCCTGGTTGATGCCAGTGTGGCATGAAGTTTTACCTGAAATTAAAGCGGCATGTTGCTTCAAAATTGAAAAACAGTTTTTCAACAAAAAGTGAGAAATTCATTAATGAGGGAGTGTTAGTTAGCCTGGCAAAGCCACTGCAGTGCTGATCACCGCAAGATGAACGTGAAGGGCACACAGATCTCTGAAGTACATATAAGGTTACCTATCAAAATGCAGAGGCACATTCGGATTGCGTATCTTTGGTAGACTGTATCTTTTGCTTTGTTTGCTGTCCAGAAGATATGTACAGCTCTTACCAAACACTATTCTGCCAAACTCTAAAGAATTGTTAATTGACATGTACAGATGCCTGTCTTACAAAATAACAGTTATGTCATATGCTGTCTCTCTAAATCATGAATTTTGGTAAAAAGAATGCCATGGCTTACAGAATCAAATGTCTTTCCAGAGTAGATTGATGGGTGTTACCTCATCATTGATGGGGTGAATGTAATTATTTCATGTTTCATAAAAATCATGCTTCTTCACAGAATCATTCCTTTTGAAACTCATACTGCACATTGGACTTAATACAGTAGTACTTGCAGATGAAATTTTCAGTGCCGACGTTTATGACATCCTAAACAAATTGTGATATTACAAATAAACACCAGTCTTCATTCTACTATCCTACCAGTTGTGCCATGCAAGTATTTCATTGATTTGATTGATATGTGGGGTTTAACGTCCCAAAACCACCATATGATTATGAGAGACGTCGTAGTGGAGGGCTCCGGAAATTTCGACCACCTGGGGTTCTTTAACGTGCACCCAAATCTGAGCACATGGGCCTACAACATTTCCGCCTCCATCGGAAATGCAGCCGCCGCAGCCGGGATTCGAACCCGCGACCTGCGGGTCAGCAGCCGAGTACCTTAGCCACTAGACCACCGCGGCGGGGCGCAAGTATTTAGACTTTAATTTTTCTAGTTTCAATAATGAAATTCATTAACTACTTCCCAGGGTGTCTATCAATTTGCTTTTTCAAAATTCCCTGATTTTTCCAGGTTTTTCATGATGATTTAAAGCAAATTCCATGACTGTTACATCTGCTTGGTAAACTATGTTAATGCTTATTTGGTAAACTATGATAATGCTTATTTTTGTGAGAAACGCACAGACTGCCATCGGTTTCCATGACCAGGCCAGATTTTTCAGAAATTCCCTGACTTTACCAGAAAGGTACAAATTCCCTAACTTTTCCAAGTTTTCCAGGTTTTTCAGGTTGGTAGACACCCTTCTTCCGTACCTGCACTTACTAAAATGTATGCACCTGCACGCACAGCACCAAGTCCTTGCTTCTCATAATTTTTTTTGTGCCTTTTGCTCCATTGTAATTTTCAAATAACAAAATTTACCTTTTTAACTGCTTTTTTTTTAGCCTTTCATTGATTGACTCAAACATTATATAGCTAACTGCAATGTGTGCTAAAATAGACCAACTCGCCCAACTTTCCATTTTATTGCAATGTGTGCGTTCATGTACACATGTTTCAACTATGTCCACTTCTCTGTAATGTCCTGGCCTGAAAGGTAGGTACAGTGGCAGTCAAAATTTTGCAGACCACGGGAGCGCATGTCAAACAGCACCGCTGCGCCTTCTGACGTCTGCCTGTGAAGCTCAAACGCGTGCACTGTGCATGTGTGCCCTTTTTTACCTGCCAGTCTGCTCGTTTGCTCCCTTGAACAGTGCACACAATGAAACACTATTAGAAGCGCGAAGTGTCACTCCAGCTGTCACCGCGCAAACCTTATCACAAAGGTCAATCTTTGAAAAACTGACACGCTTTTGACAAATGCACATTTTTGACAAAGCGTAGAGCGTGTGGGAGTAAGGTGCAGATGATGCGGCGCACACTGAGCACTGCCAGTACAAATTACGTGTTTTCATCACGATATCATCTCTCGGTGTTTCCGAAGCGAAAGCAGTAGTGAGACCTAGCACTTCTTCTGGTGTTCCGGTGCATGCACAGTTGAACAGAGAGAACGAGCAGGCTGGCAGGTAAAAAAGGGTGCGCATGCGCAGTGCACACTCACGAGCTTTGAAGGCAGCGGTCCTAAAGTGCCTCGGTGCTGTTTGACACGAGTTCCCGTGGTCCGCAATATTTTGACGGCCACTGTACATTAAAAGTACCCTTAAGGAAAATTTTTACATTAAAAATTCCAATTCAGAATTTATCATACTGGCAGCAATAAATTTCAATTTAAATTTCGTAGAAAATTTTAACTATACCCATGCCCAACTAAAGTAAATTTGAATGCTTGGCAGAATGCTTGGATAATATGTCCTTGGAGCTAACACATTTTCCCCCCCTCGGCAATGCAGTAAAAGTTCAATCAATGATGTTGGACTATACTAAAATGACAATGCAGAGAAAGTTATGAATCGCAGTGTTGAAATTTATGGCTACTTGCCTTTCAGGTACAACAAATCAGTCTCTTTGTCCCCTTGGAGTGTCACAGCTACCGCGTAATAGTATGGCTCATCCAAATTGTACTGCTCAGTGATGATTGGGATGAGGCCAAAAGAACTGTAGAGAATAAAACATTCGAAATTAAGGTACAGCAGTATGTTTCAAGATTAGTCCTCATTTGACATAATGCATTTCAAGAAAAGGCACAAAGTACAAAGCACGTAACTCGGCCGAGTACCGTATTTCCTCAAACAGTAGTTAGCTTGTATTCAAGAATTTTAGAAAATGTGCCAGTTCATTACCTAAATTGAAAAAAAATAAAAAAAAAATAAGACACAGTGCTAACACTGCTCTAAAATGGTATCGCAGCCACTAGTGGCCACAAAAGTAACTAACAAGGAGTGCCACCCCCAGCTATTGCAACCGTAAGCATAACTGCCGTGGAGGGATGTATTTGTTGATCACTCATGCCATCAAAGCTCATGTGTCTGCCGGTTGAAAGTGTGCCCTGCAACGTGGCAAATGCCACACTCTGCCGAAAATAATACTTTGCATTTTTCCTCACAGATGCAAGCTGGATAATTACGCCTTCGGCATAAGTGCGGCTATGGCCAGAAACATCATAGCACCCAAAGATGAATGTGCGAGTGCGACTTATAGCTGACAATCTTCTAGCATTAAGCATCATATTGAAGTATAGTTTAGGCAGTGCGTCTGGCATAGCACTGTTGTAAACCTACTGCACACTTTAAATAGACTTTATATAGACAAAATGAATGGCAGTGCTGCTGTGAAGCTTCGGCTGGACACATGAAGACTCGCAGCATAATAAAGAGACTACGTTAGGATACACTCATTGCAAGAAATATCTATGCATTTGCCACCCTTCAGTATCCCTGTCACCATAGAGTTTCATACAATAATACCTAGAGTGGAAACTGGCGCTTGTGTATACGCGGGCTCCTTCAGCGGCGCTAGTACCGCTATGGGAATTATGGGATGTACAGGCTTCGGATCTGGTTCGAATGGATCATGTTCTTGAGATTTGTGACGCTCGTTTGCTGAGTGTACAACAAAGTGATATGAAGTTTTGTCTAATTGAAATTTTATTTTTTGGTACGCAAACTTTAACTCAAAAGGTTTTTGTGACTAGGCATTAGAAGTGAAACCTGTACAAATTTAACCACCAAGGTATGCATTGCTCTGCGATTGCGTTCCAGTTTTGGCACCAACAAGTAATGAGTTATTCTTCACAACATTTCAAAACAAACATTATTGTTTTGCTCTCGAAAGTACGCAACATCTACTTATGAAAATAATGGCACAGTATTAAGTGAGGAACTTAACGTTTCGTCTGCCACGATGCCAGGTACGCCTGTTAAAGTGGTCTGCCCCCAACGCACCTCTCGTCTTGTTGTGAAGTTGAGTCAGGAGAGCATGGCAGTGTGTCTACTGACTCAGGAGAGCATGGCAGTGCATCTACTGGCAGTGCGTCCCCATTGTTTTGCAGTTGATTTCAACAAGTTTTGGCAAGACGCACTAACAACTAACGTGAACTCTATGTAATATCCTGCACTGCCACGGGACGCTATATCTATGCGCAGCGGTGAGTGGACGATGCTTCGCTTAAACTGTCAAACACGACTTATACATCTCCAGCGTTGCTGTAAATTGAGAGGCCTAGCCGTTTCCAGGTATTTTGAACAACAAAGGTGCAGCTTCAGTCCTTTGCACCCATCTCGCTAGCCACTCTACGCGAATAACGAAACTGAAACTGTAAAAAAAGATCCGTGGACAGTTCACCGGCTAATGCGATCCAATCCGAAGCCTGTGCTTCCCTTGATTCCCATGAGGGTACACGATCGCAGCGCCACATTCCTCTCAAGGTATTATTGTATGAAACTCTATGCCTGTCACAGAGTTAACTGACATATCTTCAGGCAGCGTTTGGTGATGATTAGGTTTTTTTCAGGCACATCGTGAAGCGGATTTGTGTACATGTTTGGTTCCACCCTTGTTTTGTTTTATAACGTCAATGTACATGTGAAATTTTGTATGCAATTGTGTTCTTTCTGAAAAGCTTAAGTGGCAAGTAAGCGCCTGTACGATTGTTTCTTCCTTCTTCGTCCTCCTGTAGTTGCGTTATTTTCAAGACGAACGCAAACCAACTTTCCCAAATCTCTGTTCTGCTAAGTGGCTGTTGGAAGGCAGGCATGGGCGATGGCTGGGTCAAAGATGAGTTGTTACAAAAAGGACATGCCGCTGCGAAATGCCCTAACAGCTTGCACTCGTAGCAGACTGCTTGTGTCATGTCTTGGCCGCTTCGAAAAGCTGGATCGCCATACTGTGCTGAAATAGCTGCGTAAGTAGCTTCTTGTTGCTCAGTGGACAGCTTTGAAATGCGCGTTCTTGATGTGGCACCTTGGGTCTTGATGGTTCTGAGTGAGGCTGCCGACACTCTGTGGGTTTCACGGCACGAAAAGATTACGACGGCAGCAACAGAGAATCAGCAAGTTGTGACAGCAAGTTGCGACATTTGGCGTGCAGATGTTGCGCACTCTTGGCAAGGCTAGTGCAGGAAGAAATAAAATGAGCCACCGTGGGTGCCCGCTTGGCTGTTATGGCTGCAAGGATGTGTTGTTCCTGTACACCATGCAGCAGATAGTCAATGTTTTGGGCATTAGAGTGGTTAACGGGCCAATGCACAATGATCTGCTTAGGATTAATGAAAGTAATGTTGATTTGCAATGTTCGGTAGTTTATAATTACAAGAGTCAAGTTTTTCAGCAATTGTCCATCCCAATTTTACCACAAACTCGTGACAATGGTGTCAACAAAAGGCTGAAAATTCAAAGGTAAAACCCCTCAGCATTGTTTATGCCAGTGCACATAGCACCCAAAATTTTCAAGTTCACTAGGCTGGTGCTGAATGCCGCTTCAAATTATCCCCTGCAATTTGCATTTTTAAATGTGGCACAGCAGAAATTCTTTGAATGAAGCGGGATTTCAAAATAAATAAATAAATCTGCAGGTGACCGAAATTGACAAGGTGTCAAGCAGCGACACTGTCAAGAAGCGACATTTGTGTGTCCTGGTGTATTACTTTGGTTAACTTTGCATTTCAAACATTGCTGAAACCTATCTCAGGGGCCACATAGAAAGAAGCGCATTGTTGAGACCTGCTCCACTGGATGCTCCAACAATACTAGCTGTATGCTATTTTTCGTTGAACTCAAACAGCAAAGTTTCATTAATTATCCTGACAGTTAGCAAGGCCCCTATGTTAAGAGAAGTGATGCTCCGATATCATTTAACTCTTAACTTGAGCCAGAACCATTGATATGCACTGTTTAGAAGACTTTTTCGGAAAATTCAAAAACTGGAAGGGCTCGACTGAAAATAACCGGACGAAAAACAAGAGTGTCACCGTTGCTCGTTCCCCTAATAACAGAGTTCAAAATGAAAGAGTACTGACACGATTTGAAGACATCACAAAAGGGACAGTTTTTGTTTCCTTCGCATGCAGCGTCAACGCTCTCTATACACCAGAGTCAGCCAATATGTATAAAGTATATAAATTTTTTTATTTTGAAGTTTTTGTCTCGGAGCATTTGCAAACCAGCTCCATTACAATAGACATCATGCCAATGAGTCAAGACAAATCCAGAGTTTACGAACTCTGCACCAAAACTGCGATTCGGCCTAGTTGGAACATATCCATCTTGAAATGCTTGCGCAGGCACATGGGAACACAGAAGAGAATTGTGTTCCCGTGTGCTTGCGCAAGCATTTCAAGATGAACTCTGCATCCTGCATGCAGCCTGAATCGCAGAAATCACTGATCACAGGGTCACTGGACAACAGTCAACTCATTCCTGTTTACGTGTGCCATGAGCAGGTAACAGACTTGCTGTAAGTACTATATCGGCAGTTGCTGTGTTCCTGTGGTGGCACACTGCTATGACACATCACTGAGAAGCTGCTCCCACAATATCGAAACCGAAAATGCTGTTTAGGGTAGCGATAATAAAGGTATATTTGATGCACTCCCAGGCACCACAATACTCGTTTTAGGTTTCTCGACACCAGTACTTTTATTTAAAATAACAACTCGAAAATGTTTAAGATTTGTTTCACTACTCCTTTAATGCAGTTTCACTGTACATATATGTAAATTTATCATAACAGAAAAGAGGCATAATGACGCCCCCAGCAAAGATTCCGCACACTCAGCATTTGTCAATTTACATGCCTATCAGTTACCCAAACTGCTTCAAGTAGTTTCACAAGTCAACTGCACTCTCATTGTCGAAACGTTACAGGTGCTGTGGTGGGAATTGCGAACAAGGCCTTCTCTGAAGTACCACACTATTGCTTGGGTACAGCGCGAGAACGACGAAGACGGAAGAGAACAGAAGGGACATGAAAGAGCGCTCGTCTGTGTCCCTTCTGGTATCTTATCCATCTTAAATGTTCTCGCACTGTACCCAAGCATACTGCCGTACCAACTAGCCGACTTTCAATACTGCCACGCTATTGTTCAGCAATCAGCAGCACAGCTGACACTTATGTTCCTAGGGATGAAGATACAGTGCATGTATTCACAACATTACTTGTTGTGACAGCATGACAAGGTAGAGATATGGGCCACGTTTTTGTAGCAATGCCTTCTGCTCAATTCGGTTATACTTTATCCACCATTCATGACTGACTGATCATTTATTCCACTGACAATGCGAACAAAGCGTGAAGACCATGAAAATAAATATTAAGAAAATGTATGATGATTAAATTGTGGCTACACATATGTAAGTGACTAGGTGCATGCACAAGGCATTGAAAAACATGGGCTATATTTTTAGATGATCACTTTCCAAGGCAGTTTTATCGTAATATTTTGGGCACTGAACACATCGACGGGCGACAGTCTGTGGCATTTCAATAAGTTGAAGTAGCATGCTGGAACAATGAAAAAAGTGCCTTTGCTTGTGCGTGGAGATGAATTTTGCATTTATAACATGAAATTTACCTCATCTCCAAAAGTAACAACCCAAAAGAAGTTAACAGGTGCCACTTGTAACAAAGTTCCAGTATTTCTTCCTGACAATTCCAGTCTTTCATTTCTGGTAATGTCGTAATTCAGTGAAATGAAGTCTCATGGGACTAAGAAAATACAGTCAAACCTCAATATACCGAACACGAATATATCGAATTATTGCCTATATCGAACGGTTCCTATATCACGTGGGAAATCGCATGCATTATTGATTTTTTATTTCGAACAAAGTTTGGCATATAATGGATATATAGAACTCAGCCACCCCAAACCGCCCGTGCTCCATTGACAGGCGGTGAGCTTTCCCGCAACTCTCAAAAGTAGCGATAGAGCGGCGGGCGTTTACGAATGCTGCACACATCGATGGTGCCGAGAGCGCCACTTTTAAGGTAGCGGCGTACGCGTGCCGCAGCCTTGCAGCTTGCTGTCGTTGCAGTCTCTATGGTGTCAACGGTACACTGCGCACTTGTTGGGAGGATTCGCTCGCAGGATTTCAAGCTGGACGGTTGTGCCCTCGCGATCTCCGACGCCAGCGTAGCTCCCGCCGACTGGTTCGCCCTCCGCGGTCTCCTGACGCCGTGCAGCTCTCCCATTGTGGCGCCCCGCCCTTGGACTGCTTCGACCGGATCCCCACTTTCCTATCTCCTTCTTTTTTCCGTGGCTTGCCTGTCTATTTCTTCATCTATTTCCTTCTATTCTTTTTATCCCTCCTTCCCCACACCCCTATAAGGCACTGCGTCGTGTTGCCTGAAGGCAGACAGAAATTAAGTGCCTTTTTCCTCTTCCTTACAACCACTACCATCACCACTTGTTGCAAGTTCCTCCCCCGTAGCATCGGCAGGCACCGGTCGTTGTGCTCGCAGCATTCGTGCGTTCGGAGTTAGGCCTGTCACGCGCTGTGGTGCGCGACAGGCCTAACTTCGAACGGCGGAGCTCACGGATGTGGAGATTGTCACCGAAGCTACTGCTGAGCAGCCAAATGAAGACTCTGCCGAGGTGGGTCCCGCAAGCACTGATGGTGCCCCGCTCTTGACATCAGCTGTGGTCGTAGCTGCCTTGGCCCTTGTGCGCCGCCGCTGCGGCGCGATTGAAGGTACCGGCCTATCACTTATGAATCGCCTGGACTATATTGAGGACGCAGTCGTCAAACACGCCATGGCCAACAAAAAGCAGGCTACTCTTTTTCAATATTTTAAACCAACACAATAAATACTATGTTTGAATCTTCAAGTGAGTATTTACTGCACCACGCTTGAACGGTTCGGTGGTTGTTTTCAGCAAGCTGTTGACGCATTTTTTTCGTGATTTTTTTTATATCGAATTCTGGATATATCGAACTATTTCGCTATCGTCGCGCCGTTCGATATATCGAGGTTCGACTGTATGTTCCATTTGACAGGCATTTAATCATTTACTTAAAAAAAGCATAAGGGTGTAGCAGTAAAATAGAAAACTGACCAGTTTAAAAACAGTTGTTGCTTTTCAGCAATGTTTGTGTTTACAGAGGTTCTACTGTCTTCGAAATCATTGGTGGTTCCCTTTGACTCAGTCCAAAAATGTGTTGATATCTAATGTAAAGCCTAAAACTGTGTTTGCAAAATTGGCAACGGCTTTCAATTGCAGCCAGAATAATCACTACTGTCACCACAGCACAGTAGAGAAAGCGCTCACAAAGACGACTTTAAAGGCTTTGGGAAAATGCAAAGTATTATTTTCGGCAGAGTGTGGCATTTGCCACATTGCAAGGCACACTTTCAACCGGCAGACACATGAGCTCCGATGGCATGAGTGACCAACAAATACATCCCTCCGCAGCAGTTATGCTTACGGTTGCAATAGCTGGGGGTGGCACTCCTTGTTAGTTAGTTTTGTGGCCACTAGTGGCTGCGATGTCTTTTTAGAGCAGTGTTAGCACTGTCTTATTTTTTTTCATTTTTTTTTTTTTCCCAATTTAGAAAGGCCGCTCGTCTAGCTTTTGCTGTGACTGTGCTGCTCCTTCCTTGCAGGCCTTGTGTTTTTGCAATACTGCATTTTTCACTCATCTTGAAGAGGTTTTTGTAAAATTTCTCCTGTATAATAAACGCACCCCCTAACTTTACTTCGATTTTTATGGAAAAAAGTGTGTTCATTACGCAAGTACATACCTTTTTTTTTGCTTTACAGTGTGCCACAACATCAAAACATGCTTAGCTCAGCGTTACTTCGTAGCCTTCTGACAAATGTATTCATGTGACAAAAATATAACAACAGAAAGCCCAAGACTAAAGGGGAAATATGATGCTTACTGTCCGGCTCGATATATGTCACCAGCCTCCAGAACAACAAGGTCGGCAAGGCCATCTCTTATCATATGCATGCAACCCAGGTGGCTATGGCTGCGCACACAGTTAAGGTCTGGCTTCAGCATCTGAGACTTGAAGGCCGTCTGCAAGGATAACAAGTAAAAGGTTGGTACAATAAAGTCCACCACACTTATTCAGACAATACTAACATATAAATTCATGTAAACAAACAGATTTCAGATTACGTGTCACATGAATTATTCATTGAGACAGTGCAGTGACATGATATCAACAAAACTCTGTCTTAGCCCTAGTGCATTCATAAATAAGAATGACCAGCAAAACAACAATAAGAGTTCGAGGTTTCTGCTCTGTGCCTTAATTCAATATGTAATAAGAAAGTTTACTTTCTGTTAAACTATATCCTAGCTCATATTTGCTAAGGTCAATGTTAATATTTGGTGATGTTAAGTTACCCCCAACTGCACAATGAAAAATCAAAGAGAGCCTAGAGGCAGGTGCCACACTACCTCTAAATGTATTCCATGTGTGCATTCCATGCACATAGTTTCGCAGGTTCACATTCCATGCACACAACCTGTGCGCATTCCATGCACACAGGTTCAATAAAGTCACAAGAAGGACACAATAAGCTAACCCTCATGCGGTGGCATTTTTCCACCTCCTTTTCTGAAACCACACAAAGCACAGCAGGAGGGACAGGGCATCTGCGCAGTTTTGTGAAGTGCTCCACATGCCTACCTGCAAGAATAATTTTTGAGACATGGTGTGAGAAACAACTGTGTGGAAAAGCTTTAGAAACATAATACTAAATCTTTTTTAAGAAATGAAAAAAAAAGGGAAAGAGAAGGAAAGCTAATCTGTAATTAATAAAGGCACTGTGATGCATGGGGTATTGATTGAAATGCTTCTGCATTGTTTACTAGTTCTCTATATACATAGTACTACATAGAAGAGCGCCTATCATTTTGCCCCGCCGCAGTGGTCTAGTGGCCTAAGGTACTCGGCTGCTGACCCGCAAGTCGCGGGATCAAATCCCGGCTGCGGCGGCTACATTTTCGATGAAAGCAAAAGTGCTGTAGGCCTGTGTGCTGAGATTTGGGTGCACATTAAAGAACGCCAGGTGGTCAAAATTTTCATAGCCCTCCACTATGATGTTTCTCATAATCATATGGTAATTTTGGGACATTAAACCCCACATATCAAACAATCGAGCACTTATCATTTTGTTTATGAACAATAGGCACAAGCATAGGTTTTGTTATGGTTACAATTCAGTCAAATAACAACATCAAAAACTAAACTAGACACACTTTCAAAAACTTTAAATATCAAATATTGATACTTTATTTAGGCTCAAGTTAAACAAAATTACTCCTCGTTCTTGAGAAACTGTATTTGACTTAGCACAAATAAATTTTTTGTTGACTAATTGATTGATTTGTGTTTATTTGACAGTGTTTCTGTTCAAGAGCAACATTGAGGCTGTGAGAGGATTGACGGTATATTTTGGCAAATTTTAGCCACACGAGACTCTTTGAAACAAATCTAAAGAACAGTATACAAGCATTCTTAAAGAGACACAAAAGGCAAACACTAAGCCACCATGAATTACTGAAATAACACTCCAGAAACTTAGTGGTGCTTGCTTTGTGACAAGAAAACGCTTATTTCAAGAAAAAATGACATCTCAATGGTCTGCATACAGTTTGTACACTTCGAACTGCCCACCTTAAAAGGGACTCGTGATGTGGGCTTCCACAACCCCGCATTTATAGCACGTGCTATGCAGGCGTTCTCTGTAGGCTTGTGTGAATAGTGAACTTTAGGTTTGAGGCAAATTCGAGTAGTATAAGACACATTATAAAGAAAAATGGGCCTATTCCTTGTGACCTAAGTAATCTGCACAATATTTTTAAAAAATCAGAAGCAGGGCCTGTACAAATGCCATTTTTTTTTTTTGTTCAAAGGAAAGGGAACTCTTTATAGTAGCAGAATTTGACTTTCAGTACAATGCAAGTAATAACCTGTAAAATATGTTCCGTTTTACAACTTACTATACTTAGAGCATGTAAGCTGGTATAACAAGCTCTTAAATAAAAAATGATTAATTGATAGAAGGGTAATATGCTTAATTAACCTAAAAAAACTTCATGACATGCAAATTTTTTTAAAGATGTTTTCACAACTTAACACCCCTTCACTGCAGTGAAACCACCTTTACAAAAAACTTCATGCAAATTAATATACATTTAATAAAGGCTTGCACAGCTTAGCACCCATACACTGCACTGAAACCACCACTACATGCGTATTAATGTAGACTCTTTTGAACACTTTGAAATTTTCAACAATTTCAACTCAAATACTGTTATACTCTTTTGAATATTCAAAGCATTTGAATATTCACACAAACCTAATTTTATTTGCTACCTGGCAACTTCGTGCCTGCACTGAAAACAAGGCTTGTGTGAATATTCGAGTGCTTCGAATAATCTAACAAATATTGCTGTATTTATTTCTCTTAGATTTGAATCTAAATTGCTAAAAACCTCAAAGTATTCAAAGTTATCCAATAGATGAATATAGGTCAGCATGTCATCATCAGCCTAACTACGCCCACTGCTGGGCAAAAATTTCTCCCATGTTCCGCCAATCAACCCGGTCCTGTGCTTTCTGCTGCCACGTTATACATGAGAACTTATTAATCTTATCTGCCCACCAAATTTTCCATCTCCATTTTACGCATTTGGCTTCTCTTGGAATTCAGTCGGTTGCCCTTAATAACCAGCCGTTATCCTGCCTATGCGCTAGATGTCCGGCCCATGTCCTTTTTTTTTTCTTCATTTCAACTACAATATCCTTCACCCCCGTTTGTTCCCTGACCCACTCTGCTTTGTTCCTGTCTCTTAAGGTTACACCAATTATATTTCTTTCCATCACTCGCTGCGTTGTCTTCAATTTAAGCTGAACCCTCTTTGTAAGCCTCCAGGTTTCTGCTCTGTAGGTAAGTGTTGGCAAGATGCATCTGTTACATACTTTCTTCTTGAGGGATAGTGGTAGACTACCATTCACAACTTGAGAATGTTTGCCAAATGTGCTCCATCCCATCCTTATTCTTATAGTTCTTTCTCTCTCATGGTTTGCTCTGCAGTCACTACCTGTCCTTTACAACTTCCAGTGTCTTGCCACCTATCGGAAAGTGCTGTTCTCTGCCGAGCACAAAACACTAATCGCAAGTAACTCCTTGCAAAGCTGGTTTCACTGCAGTAGAGGAGCGCAAACATGTGAAAGCATTTTTGAATGTTTAATAACTTGTATATAACTTACTTTAGAAATAACTTCACTGCTGTGAAGAAGTGATAAACCCTAAAGACATCCATCCAATAAAATCCGCAATGCCGTGAAGCCCAACTCCAAAGTAAAATGAACATATTACTCTCACATTGATTCATAATCTTTTGACGTTTAAAAGCTTGTTATACTAGCTTATATGCTTTAAGTATTGTAAATTCCAAATGTAACATATTTTACAAGTTATCACTACTTACAGGTAATCAGTCTCCTGAATGTCAAATCCTGCTGCTATTGAAAGTTGTTTCCACTTCCTTTAAACCAACCAAAAAGAAACACATCTGCATAGGGCTTTTTTCAATTAAAAAAAAATACAGTGCAGGTTAGTTGGCTCATGACAAATATGCCTATTTTTCTTTGTAGTCACGGGTATCCATCTCACGGGTATCCATCTATATTGGAATACCTAGAGACTCTTATAGCAAGGCAATGAAAATTTACTGAGAAGAGTGTACGAGTACACCAGTGTCTCACGAAAAACCATGCAATGCTTCACCACATGGCATGAGCAATGAAGCAGCACCTTGGTTCTGATTTTCTTTGTCTATGTGAAGAAAAACATTTTGTACGTCATTAATTATTTTTCTACTGTTCCTGGGTCATTTATCTACAAAATGTATATTCTGAAATTCCTTTCTTTTGAATATTTTTGCATATATAGTATTTTTTATTCCCCTGTTTACCAGCTGGTGACGAAAAATTTTATAGTTTTCACAGTTTTATTCATTCTAAAATATTTTTGCTGAATTAAAACCAATATTTTTCAGAAAAAGCATTTCATTTTTCAAAGTTTGGTATGCTGCAGTGCATGCTGGAGTACTTTTCAAACAGGCAAAAACGATCTTCCGAAGACATATGAAAAACAACCATTCCCGTGCAGGAACGAAAAGTTAAGCTGCTACATACGATCGATTACAACATCGTGAAACAAAGCAACCAACTAAAGCTAACGCCACCATAATATGCTTATTCATTTAATTATTCTTGGATGTATATTGCTCACTACAGAAGACGCTGTGATTGACGGTATCAACTCAAATATCATTCAATTTGGACGTATAGTAGCACCATTGAAAAAAATGTCATTCAAGAAATGAATGTTTTTTTCTACCAAATGCCATTTTCTATGCCAATGTGGCACGAGCATTAAGCACTGCTGTATGTAATATTGATCTTTTAGACATTCTCAACCTGCTACTCTAGCATAAATTCTTGTTTGTTCTTAATGTTCCTGTACAATTCCTAGTGCCACTCCTAGGATTGAACCTCAAACCTCGTACTCAGTGGTGGATAGCCTTGCCACCATATTGAATTGAACTGAATTGAATCTTTATTTCAGACACGTATAAATAAAAACATAGCTGCAGAAAAGAGAAAAAAAGCCGCTCAGTTACGACTTGACAATGCTCCCCCCCCCCCACTGCTCCCCCCTACACATCGATAGAGCGACATCACATGATGGTGCAGAAATAGTACGGACATGCAAAAAAACCCTCAAAAAGTAGAGGAAACAAGCCAGCAAAACACGGTTCACAATAAAATGGGCAATAATACAAGCACACTATCTTTCTGGGTATATTCAAAGAAAGTTGTGGTCACAAAAATTTTTTTAAATGATGGGCAATGCAAACATTAATTAAATAGATTTCAAAGAGTGAAAGAAATTTCGCGTATCGAGGTGTGATGAAAGCCGAACATTTTAAGCAGACATACCAGATATACCAGATTGAAGTAAAACTGCTGCGTTATGTTCCACTAATGAAGGGTCATGTTTTTTATTTGAGTACATGTCCGATGAAATTAACAAGTTCGCTGGTATAATGTGGCAGCAGAAAGCACAAGACCGAGTTGACTGCTGGATCACGAGAGAGGACTTTGCCCTGCAGTGGGCGTAGTCAGGCTGATGATGATGATGATGACTTGTTTCAAAATACTAAAGGCCTTGGCACAAACAGTAGTGCTCAGATCCCAAAAAAAACAGTACCAACCAAGCAGACATTTTACACAGCAGATAATAGCACACCTCGTCCACAACATAACAGACATCATAAATACAGGAAAGATGGTATTTCAGTGCATCTGCAAAGTCACCACCCTTCATAAATACAATGGCAAAGCATTTCCCCAATTCAATAGAGTTGGGAAAAAGACTTTGCTTCCAACTGTTTGTTCTTCCTGCCACTTAAGTGTGACAAATAGCACTGAATGACAACAGTAAAGCCGGAGGTCACTTATCTATTTTAAGCTGAAAGTTGTTCTCCTTACCGAGGTAACCAGTGAAGGTCTGCTCATAGCCATCGAGTGGGACCAGCTCTGTTGTCAAGTCCTGCAGAAGTAGATTGGTAGCATTGCCATAGCGACTTCCGCTAGCAAACAGATAGAACTTCGACAATTCTGTCATGTTGACAATTAATGGGCGGTCAGTTGTAAGCGAGCCACTCCAGGAGGGCGTCGGTGGTCCAGCTGCCAAGCTCTGGTTGAAACCTCGAATCCAATCAGGCGTTGGGTTCAGATTGTAGCCACTACTGTCCGAATGGCTCTGGTAAAACCAAGGTAGCTGTCCCACAGGTGGCTTTCCAAAGGTTTGCACTGCCAGCTGCAATGAAAAACATTTGTTTATTAGTTTGACTACTGCTAGCTAGTAATGATTACTAATTAGTTACTGCAGTACAAATAATGACATGTCAACACTCATGTGCTAGCAACACCAACATATCTCAGAACAATTTTAAAAAATACAATAACTTATGATGATATGCTGACTGTTGCATTGCTCAGGCAAACAAGTGCATGTGGCTGTTAACGTAAATGTTCCCATATGCTCAAAATCAAATTTTAAATTGAGGCAGGAATTGATGGTGCATTTTGGTCATGATGTACTTCCACAGAGCCATTACCTATTTCATAAAAAATTGAGCACAAGTATGCATTTTCTCTGGCAATGCCAGATGATGTTCCCACAACACGGAACAGTGGTGCTATATGATGCAGTGTTCTGCTGATTAAAATATAATATTGCTTCAGTCTATTCATTTTGACAATTAATTAAATACAACTTCACAAGAGAAACTCTGACACTGAGAAAACGCATAAGGAAAACTGAGGGACTCAAATTTGTGAGTTATAACCACGGAGCAAGAATTCTTGAGGAGGCGAAACTGCGCTCGCTCGGGCTCCCTGAAAATGTCACCAGTCGTGAAACTCCGCTAGCGGAAAAGAAAAAATGCCCGCGCCCCTCTCACCGCGCTCACATTCAAGGCCACTAAACCCCGCGACACGCATAGAGCAGCGCCGCGAAAGAGGGGGTGATAGGAGAAGATGTTGACGGTGTGGTGAGAGTGTTGTGGCGACAATAAATGAGGGCCGCTACTTTCCTACGTCACGGAGCTTTCCTACACCAAGAGGGGGGGGGAAGCCGGGAGAAAGTTTGCAGCGTTATCTTTCAGGCTCCTTGCGAAGCAGAACATTATCGGACAGCAGATAGTCACGGATTTCACTCACCTAAAATATTCTTGCACTGTGCCCTCACCACAGAAATTACATGTTTAAATGCGAACAATTTGTGCATAAATGAAAATATGATTGGTCGTTTTTCGAGTGTTATTAAACATTTTTGTGAAAGTTCTACATGGATTTCATTTTTTATAGGCGCCATATTTTCAAAAATATTTGGCCCACCCCCTTCCCCATGGAGTTTCTTAAAATTAACTAGAGGGGACTCTGGCGTTACAATCGTTCAGTGACCATGGGAATGATGTGTAGCACACAGATTTGCCTAGTTTTCGTACTTGCGGACTGTAAATCACACTTGTGGCTTCGTTTACCGCTATGTTTCGGTTTTGTTTCAAAGAAAGAAATGAACTGTTTTGAACTTTGTGACCCGATTTGAAATGGTAAGCCAAAAAAAATATGGTGATGAATCGCAACCACTGCACATTTGCTGATTTTTGTTTCGTGAGAAAACAGTTCCAAGCCACACGAACACACACGGAGCCAGAAGTACGAAGATTAGACAAATCCGTGTACTACCTATCATTCCCATGCTTGCTGAAACGCCGTGCATTGCTGCTCCCATAGACACTAGCGCCAGAGTTCCCTCTATATTTAGGAAACTCTATGCCCTTCTCATATTGAAAATATTTTAATTTTAAACCATCTGTATTACTTGTTGCGATCAGTAGGCATATACAATATGCATAATAGTACTATATAGAAATGCTGCCTTAGAAGTGTTGTTGTATGAAATCAAAAGTAACTAGACCATTGGTAGCGTATTTGCCGTTATTATGTGCGAACAGTTTCTGAAAAAGGCCCAGCAGTCAACTTTGGCAGTGCTCGCATGCAGGCAACCAAACCATGTGCTATCCGATCAGTGAAGCTGAAGAAGATAGAGGAGGCAATTTTTGACAAAGGCACTGCCTGTGGTAAGATGTCCTCTCTTGAAATAAGTTTAAAGAACGCTATAGGTTAAGACGAATGGGAAAAACACACACGGTGCTCAGACTGCTGAGCGTCGTATGCATTCCTTCTTTTCGTCTTAACTTCTCGAAGAGTTCAGTCTTCTTTCAGTATGATCCAACGAACCAGACAAATTTTAATGCTGTCCATGTGTCTTCTTCTCCTGATATAGTTAATTATTACAATGACAATAGAGAGTTTAGTATAGCAGAAAACAGCAAGCGCAAAGATTTAGCGTTGACGTTAGCGTTGCATGCTCTAAACTGAGCATGTGCAAAACGTTAACGTAGCCAGAACTATTATGTACAAATGCTATCATTCAACAATAACGTATGCAAGAGACCCCACATATGTAGGTCAAGATGGCGGTGCTTATGAAAGTGAGAACCGTCCACTTCGAATCTTTCTAGTCTTCATCCTGAATTGTTAAACTCCTTCACTCCCAATTACTGGTTATTTGATTTATATTTGAGTAATGAGACTTCGCCAGCTGTATACTGCCGATAAGAGAACTAAGTTTTTTGAGATACATATTCGATTTGGGGTGCAGAAGGTTTAAAAAATTCGTCTACAAGGTTCACTCATGTTTTCGGTAGCAATACAGTGATTGCAACGCTATACTCGTTAGCTTGTTTCTAAATGTGGCAAATGCGGCCATAAGTCGAGCTGAGCCAGGTAATAGTGGTCTTGAGAAACACTCGATTTCGGCTTATGTCAAAAGAAAATGGTGTGTTTCGGACCACCACACACAACACCGAACCAAACGTGGCATGGAGACGCAGCAATGGTGACTTCGGGTTAACTCAATTTTGGGGCGCACATGAGGTTTCTACAGCGCATATAGTGTTTTTATGACTAGATGGCACCATAGGTGTTTGTGTAGTAGGGAATACCTTCCTCTGTACTAAATGACTACCACTTGTCACGCAGCACATTTTGTTTTAGCGTCAGCGCTAAGACACACGCTAACATAAGCGTCTTCCGATATTCTCCAACTCTCTAATCTCTCCACGTGCTCCGCTAGAAAGAAAACGCCCAGGTGATATTAAACGCTCCGCAGAGGCTTAGAATAAATATGGCTTGTGTTCTTTGCAGCTAAATCAAAAAAGCGTGAAGTCTCAAGCATGACCAGATGACAAAGCGGGAAAGAAAGGGGGCGAGGCGGGAGGAGCCCTCATTTTTTTTTTTTAACCAGGCCCTCCGTACTGTTAATCCGGCCCTGTATACAAACAAAGGTTTTTCATATATTAATTAAATGCAACTGATTAAATGGATAATGAAAAGACCACTGTACACTGCAATGCATGGAGAATGCCTCTTGCACAGACAAGAAGTGCAAATGACCTATAAAAAGACTTTGAAACGTGACATGCCAGACCGTCATGCAACGGTGGCCTTTCAAGAAGTGAAGAGGGACACTGGTAGTGCCCCTAGCAACACCTATTTGCAGTGACATCGTGTAACACCGCTTAGAACTTGTGACACAAAGTCTGAGGATAGTGCACTTTCTTTTTTTTTAATAATCAACAGACACACTCCAAAAGCACATGCAATCAACAAAGCTTTGCAGTGACCATTAGCTCCAACTTTCCTGTGGGTACCTTTCTTTATAATGTGCAAGTAACGCTGTGTTGTACCTCAACCTATAAGCAGTCATGCACATTCAGCCCTGCTAGCTAATGAAGCAAGAAAGTGCACTGATAATGTTATATAAAAAAAAGAGGAGTAAAGCAGTGAAAGACACCACTGTACAAAACTGGGCATGCTATTGCCCCAAGACATTAGATGGATGCACAAAACACGATGCTTGATATGCATGTAGTTTCAGCTAATCTTCATTATTATTATTATTATTATTATTATTATTATTGTTGTTGTTGTTGTTGTTGTTGTTGTTGTTGTTGTTCTTATTTTGCAGCAATAGCAAAGCTGTGCATCAACTGCTACATATATGAACACAAGCTAGCTTATGATGCATTCAAAACTTAGTAGTGTTTGTACTGACTTCGTAAAGACATGCTTATGGAATCAACTTTGCATGAATTTATGCAACTATCCAAATGTTCAAATCGCATCACATAAAAGGAGGAAGTTTGATACTATGATGGTTGCGACAGTTTATACAAAATCAAACAGGAGTGAAAGTCCGGTTAAGATGAAAAAATTCTGTATAAGTCACTGATCTCATCTTTCAAGCATAATAAAATCAGCCATGACACCAAAGGAAAAAAATGTAGCTGATCCCTCTTCCTAGGAATCGGTAAAACACAAAAGTGAAACATGTCTTCACAGAGGTAGTTCGTTTATTGTGCATTGTTTCACCACAAGGCTAAAGGAATGAATGCTACAGCAACAAATTGCAAGGTCACATGAAGAACGCTAAGCAGTAGCATCTCGAAACTTGCAGCACGCACCTCAGGTAGAAAGCATTCCCAAAATGAGCATCCAGAACGAGTGCAGACTAACATATGTCACAGCTCGACACTTAAAGCGCGCTTTATAAACAGAAAGGCGCACAAAATGAACACAAGTATACACAGGACAGGCGCGAACAACTGTCTCAATTCTTACTTCTTCATGTGTGAGCAGCATGTTCCTTTCATAAATGCGGCCGCGAGCGAAGTCAACTCCGTTTGCTGATGGCACGTCCTGCCCTTACTTCGCACTCAAGGTTTGTGGTGAGCTAACTTTTCACCGCAAACACACAGCAACAAATGGCGCAGAGCAATCGGGCTGCAGTGCAAAGCAGGTTTGGATTATATTGGACTGAACTGGGGGGGAGAAGGCACTTTCCCGAAATGGCGCGAATATTTGAAACTTCCAGTTAAGCTCGGGAGGGGGGCTTGTATGGGTAGGGGCACTTGCTTGGAATTTCGCGGTATTTTACACAATTTACAATAACATCCCTGACAGCCCAAGTTATAACCATAATGTATGATAACAACCCACCTTAAGGAACTCTTGGTATTGCACCCGAACTCGAGGCAGTGTGTCTGATGTTGTGACTATCACATTTGGTGGTACCCTGCCCCAGTTGCAGGTGTGGTACTGGTCTGGCTGGGCTGTCTCGCCATTTGGACAGAGAAGTCTGAATCGATCTGGAGGGGGCTGGCCAAAAAACATTTCTTCCAAGGTGGTGTGCTTTACAAAGGCTACATCACCCTTTTCCATGAGGCAATGCAGTGCACCTTGATAGCCAGCAAATGGGTCATTGCCCGAGCACCTTTCACCGGGACGCCCCATGCATAACTCGCACATTTTCTGTGGGTTGTCACCTGCACAACAGAGAAATGACAACATGGAACTTTTTTGTGCCACATGTCTGAAACATACAGAACATCACTCATGACAACATTATACAACAAAGAATCGCGGCAGCAGAAATCTAGCCACTGGTGTGACTAAACATAATGAATCATTTATTAAAAAAAATAGGTAAAATTGGCAATATACTTCATTGCAGTGTAGCACTGTTATACGATAGACAACGTAAACAGAAATATTTTATGTGCCAATGCTGCTTAAATTGAAACAGCGCCTTTAAAATGGTTTCATGCTTGAATTATGCACCTCTCATCATCTGTCAATAAATGTAACTTCTTTTTAATTGAAACAAATTTTCTCGGTTCCTTCAGATTCCCTTTATGACGGAACGTGGCAAGGGAACAGTAAATTTCGTCAAGGTATTCTATCTTAATTTACATTTTTTTAAAATTCTCAAACCATTTTAGAACGGGCCGCCAAGCTCGGCTTGACGGTCCCTATGTGGGATTAGCCAGGTGGCGCGGGGTCTCCCCTGCGTTTTCACTGGACCAAAATAAAGTTTTAATCGTCATCATCTTATATGTCATAGTGAACAATAATGTCTTGAATTTTTATGTCCAAAAACCACAGTATGGTTATGAGGAATCCCGTAGGGGAGGGCTCTGAAGATTTTGCACATCTTGCATTTTCTTTAGTGAGCACAGACATCGCACAGTACACGAGCCTCTACCATTTCGCATCCATAGAAATCTGACCACCGTGGCCGGAATTGACCTCGCAACCTTTGGGTCAGCAGCCGAGCACCATCACCACTACACCACTGCAAGACTTTATTTCATGGTGAAATATTGGAAGAAAACACATTCCGGAAGTTGACAATAAAAAGCACTTCACTTGTGTGCTATCATAGAAAAACTGTGAAAATTGAGCAAGTGAAAGTGTAAGTCTTTCAGATTTCCCTTGGCACAGTGCTTCCATGTCAGCATCATCGTAAAAAAGGAAAGACTTAAGTTTCATCTAGCTACAGCACTGCATTACTCAAACGAAAAATAAAACCATCAGTGTGTTGAATTTCATCATTTTTTTTTTTAGTTTTGAGCTCCCTCTTCTTTGAGCTCCATTTTCAAGACTTTCTTTTCTGTGTGGCTCCTATTAGTCATCCCTGTGCCATTTGACAACATAAAACCACTCTGTTTTTTGCACTTAAAACCTGGAACGTTTGTGAGTGTCATAAAGTTATTCATACTTATCTGCACATTATAGACATTTTTATTTCTTATAAAAGTTGTCAGTAAGGCACTATATGTACAGAACATAAAAAAATGCCATGCTTATTTGAATATTAAAAATAATCCGACAGCATTACAACACAAAATGTGTCTTTATAAATATGCTTACATAAAAATCTTGATGAGTTCATAACTAACTAATTAATTTTGGGATGACAACGAAAGCCAAGTATAACTCAAAAGCTACCACAGATAGGTCAAGACTAATTTCAGTTAAAATAGCATAACAAATCACTTTAGCATGCCAAATTTCATCACTCATCCACATAAATAACAAAAATAGATTTCATGGCCACATTTTCTTCACACACAGTTTCTTCAACAATTTCTTCAAGGTGTACAGTTTCTTCAAGGTGTAGTTACCGATTGATTCTATATTGTAAGACTCAATGGCTTCACAGAAGTGCCCGTGTGACACAGGTATAACACAATCTTTCCACCCTCTTTCAACAGGTCTTATTACCATATCCTCACCAGCGGCTTTGCCCCTTCGCATTCCCTCTAGAGCTTTACATCCCCCATTTATTGACAATACTTTTTTTTGTCCCTTTCTTTTCTCTTTTCTCTCTCATCTTTATACTCCCCCTTCCCATTCCCCCCGCGTAGGGTAGCAAACCGGGCATATGCCTGGTTGACCTCCCTGCCTTCTCTCTTGTTGTTCTTGTCCTCCTGTCATTACTGGTGGTATGTCACATTGCTCTGGGCTATTACTGCCATTGTTTCCTAAATATGCACTAGAGAGAACTTTAACGCAAGTGTCTATGGAAGCTCCAATGCATGGCGCTTCAGCGAACATGGGGATTATAGGCAGTACACAGATTTGTCTAGTCTTCAGACTTTACCTTCCTTTTGGGTTCGCATGGCTTGAAGCTGCTTTGCCATGAAACAACAATCGGAAAATGTTCAGCAGTTGCGCTTCACCACCTTAAACTTTTAGGCTTACCATTTCAAATCGGGTCATGAAGTTCAAATGGGCTTGTTTTTTTCTTCGAAACGAAACCAAAATCAGCAATAATAAACGAAGCCACAAGTGCAATTCACCACCCGCAAGTACAAAGACTAGGCAAATCATGTATTACCCATCATTCCCATGGTCGCTGAACGATCTCAGCACCAGAGCCCCCTCTAGTTAATTTAAGGAAACTCTTTGATTACTGCTTCTTAAGATATCATCATGGTTTTCTCAGCTGCTGTACATATCTCTGTAGAACTCCTCTGCTACCACAACTATCCTAGCCATATTGATTGTAAGCTTGCCTTTTTTGTCTCTTCATGCATACATCAAGTAATATTGTACTCATGATGTGTATTTTGATTCCATGCCTTTTCGTTTTCATTATCGTTTAGGCATTCCTTGTTTGTTCCATTGTACTAGAGTTGTGGAGCTTTAAAGTGTACTCATTATTTGCTGTGTTTTTGCTTTCTTGCCTTTTTTTCTTTTCATATTCGTTGTGTATTCCTTGTTTTGATTTTTCAGTTCTGACTGCTGCTTATAATTGTTTTACTCATTTGTAACCACAACCGAGGGTCAAATTGCAGTTGCGAACTTTGGGACCTCGCCTACATATTTTATACTTTGTACTCAATCATTTTGTCATAATAAATCTCATTGATTTATTGATTGATTGAGTGATTGATTGATCTAATTTTTGCCTATACACAGATTTGCCTTCACAGATTTTTGACTGCTTTGTTTTTTACAGCATGCTCAATTCTCTTCACCTTACACCTTCTTATGTCGGCCAAGTTACGCTTAATGATTAACTTTGGAATCTCTGCCAGCTCTATTTTATGAGTTGCATTTGACACTTTCATGATTTGAAATCTCTTACTGAGGTTTTTTTGCCTCCTGGGACAGTTTGCCGGTGTACTGTCTAATGACTGTACCCCTGACTTCCCCTGCACACTCCTTAATGATACTAGTCAGATTATTGTTCATTGTGTCAACGCCTACATCTGTTTCCCCGGTTAGAGCTGCAAATCGAATCTGAAGTGAAACTTTAAATTCCTGTACTTTTGCTCTCTATGCTAGCTAATTAATTGTCTCCTTGCATATCAGTTTCTGCCGTTGCTTTCTTAAGTCTAGGTGAATACAAACTGTTACCATTCTATGGTCACTACATTGGATGTTGCCAACCACTACCACATCCTGTACAATGCCCAGGTGTGCACACAGAATGAGGTCTATTTAATTTTTGGTTTTTTCATTAGGACTCCTCCACATCCAATTATCGTTGGCCCGTTTTCTGTAGAAGGTACTCAAGATCCGTAAATTTTTATGTTCTGCAAACTCTAGTAGTAAATCCCCTATAATATTTCTAGAGCCAATGCCATATTACCCCACTGCATAGCCTCCAGCCTTTTTCTTGCCTACCTTGGCAGTAAAGTCACCGATTAGTAGAGTATACTGTGCCTTTATCTTATGAATTGCTGATTCTACGTTTTCAATAGTTTTCAATAAATAAGGAGTGAAATTTCAACTTAGTGGTGCAACAATCAACAACATATTTTGGGTAGCATACCTGTTGGGTTGTGTTTGTCAATAAGGGAGTTTGGTGCGCAGCTGGGACCAAAAAATGAAGCTGCACTTTTCACAAGGTTGTTGCAGTCGGTTACTTCTAAGACGTTCTCGTGGATCAGTGTCGCCATGGGAACCACCCAGCCGGCCATGTCCCCCACACTCGTAAAGCAGACAGACTTGTTCCTCAGGTCATTCAGTGAGCGAAACTCAGACCGAGCATGAATGACAGCCACTGAGTAGTAACCAGTGTCCCTATCTGCAAATTGAACAGTTAAGGAGCATAAGGTATATACAAAGCAAGCAAATGGTAACATCAATTAAGACATAAGTCCAAGAAAATAAAAATTTATCCAAGTCTTTCACACTGCAGAAATCAATGTCAAGTGAAATACTCTGTAGGCCGCTTGCTTTTGCAGACTTTTTCGAAAGTTGTACCTGAGAGACAAACATGTTACATTGAACTGAGCAACTTGATTGATATGTGGGGTTTAACGTCCCAAAACCACCCTATGATTATGAGAGACGCCGTAGTGGAGGGCTCCGGAAATTTTGACCACCTGGGGTTCTTTAACGTGCACCCAAATCTGAGCACACGGGCCTACAACATTCCCGCCTCCATCGGAAATGCAGCCACCGCAGCCGGGATTCGATCCCGCGACCTGCGGGTCAGCAGCCGAGTACCTTAACCACTAGACCACCGCGGCGGTGTAAGTGAGCAACTTAGGTTAAATGACAACTCGACGTCATTGTTTTCTTTACCTTGATTGTCATAACTAGGGTGGCAATTTTTGTTTCGAATTTTGCATATCTTAACTATAAATGCAATGGAATAGGAGACTTTTGACAATTAGGAAAGCAGACATAATACACAGCAATCTAGAGAACTCGAAGGGACAAAAGAATGCGTTCTATTTATCTGATAATGAAGAGGCACGTCATTTGAAAAGCGCAGAGTGTCATTATTTTGTTTTTTCCTAGACAACAAAACAAAACATTTTACTGCAGTGAACAAATCCACAAGGTCATAGTGTTGTGCATGAAATATCATTGCCAAGGCTTAAGGCACTAATGTCCATTTCATAAGCAGTCTCTAATGAGGACAACTAATAGGAAACTGCATGTATGCTTAAATTTGATCTCTCCCTGATGAACTCATTAGCCTTTATTTCTTAAAAAAAAAAAACTGCTGCTTTAGGACAACATCTCTCCAATATTAGGTTTAGTAGAACGGCCTAGGAAGTGTAGTTTTGATTCCTTAGCCAAACTTTGTTAATTCTGTGTCTATGAGCAACCAGAAAGTTTAACATCCTTTTTCTGTTTATCCATAATTTCCTTAAGTTGCTAAGAGACTACAGTAATGTGATGAATGATCTGTTGGGGCAATGACACCCAAACATAAACATGTACGTACAAGGGTTCCCGTGGTCTTGTATGAAGTTGACTCTCTAGGCCAATAATAAGGTGGTGCTGTTACTTTTATGCTGTCTACTTTTCTGCCAGTACTTCAAAAACCACACCCTCAACCTTTCTCTAGTTTACTCAAAGATTGCCAACTGATCTCAGATGTAGATGTCCTGAATTAGATGAAAAGACCTCAAACTGTGACCGGGCCCTAAAAGGACGTACTCTGACATCATATAACAAAGCAGTATTTAATGTGAAGAAAGTACCATAGTACTAATTTGACATACACTGCGAGCATACATAAAGGTTTATATTTGGTAATTCTGCATTCTGAACATCTGCATTTGTTTGACAGAGTGCTCACCGCACTTTACCATCATTTAGCCCTTATAAGATTAGGAGCTTCCATCATAGGTGAACAAAGTATAGAATGGACGTAAAAAGAATCATCTTAAATATTGAAATGGTTGACATTGTTGTCCATGTAAGACACATTTTAGAAAACAGAGTTCCATGCAGAGTTTGTTATGCAGAGTGTTATGGAAGGTAGACAAGAACTTAATTTTCCCTTTTGAAAGGAAAGGGGCGAAAAAATAGAGATAGGGGGTGGTTGCTACACACAGTAGCAACCACCCCCTCCACACCCTCTCTGTCCAACAAAGGATGGCCTCCTCGACGTTGGGTTTCAAGCTTTGCAGAGCAGCTTCCCACTGGTTCTCATTATTTACAAATTTTTGCAGAGACAGGGCAGGAGGGTGCTTAGGGCATCTCCACATGATATGATTAGGATTCGCCTTAGTTGCTGAGCAATATTTACAGGAAGAGGACAGGTAGAGAGAGGGTTAATGAGGTTACGAAGGTGAGGATAAGGAATGGTGTGAGCCAGCAGCTGTTGCCACAGTACTTCGCACGTTCATGGAATTTCATTGTAGATAACAGATTCAAACATGTATGGTGAATTTACAGTTGACTTTTAACGAATACTGTTGATCACAAGTACACAATCACAAGCAGAAAAACAGCAAACGACTCAGCCCTCATTTAACTTTGCTGCACTTCCCCACTTCTTTTTGCAACGGAAAGGTGGCAACTCTTATTACAACAGGAAGTTAGCTTTTCCACTAAGACAAGTGATACGGCCGCTGAACTTGTGATTATTTAAGGTATCGGAGGAAACAAATTATTGCAGCTGTGCAAGTATGGAAGTGCAACACATTACTGGGCATGCATGTCATGTTAGAGAAAAGTGAATACACTTGCACACCCCGACGTTAACTTACAGTAAGTGTACAACCATGGCCACATCTGTGTAGAGCGTGCGAGCAGCTGTTTTTAACTCTGGGGGGTGACACGTTGAGGTAGTTTCCAATTTTTACATGGTCAACCTGACTACTAGGCCACGCATGCTCCCAACCCACCACATCAGAGCCCGAAACTATCCCAAGGTGCCACACCGCAAGGCAAAAACCGGCTGCTCGCGTGCTCTACAGACATGGCCACAGACCCACATCTATGTCCATATGCCCACAAGGACACATTCACATGCACTAGGAATCAAACTCCACAAAATGTGGATGCCAGTGACGTTCCTTGGTTGACAATTGCTTATCGCTTGAAGTGTCAATCTTCCCCTGAATTTCTGCTTTTTTCACACAGCCAAATATGCACTTTGTGTAATAATTTGCACAAAACCCGATTTAATTCAATAATACATAAATAAATAAAAAGGTAACTGAGAATGAAAAAATAGATCTGAAAGAACATTAAAAAATTTACAAAAGCCAGCAGACGGACCATGCAAAATAATGACGAGAGACAATGTGACAAGTATGATGCTGCACAACTACATGCATACTTGAACCATAACTTTTGTGAATGATATTAAAAGGTAGAAAATAAAGAACACAGCAAGTAATTTTCAATTGGTGAACACTCTGTTGATGCAAAATGTTAAAAATGATTATAGAGGGAGACTTTTAAACTAGAACTGTTGCCCGCACAGGTCTGCTAATGGCTTCCTGCAATAGCATGTTTATAGTGAGAAATGCTACTACCGTATTTTCCGGAGTATAAGACACATTTTTTTTTTCTGAATTTTGCACCAGTGCATCTTATACAAAGGTGGGACCTATATTAAATTGAATTGAATCTTTATTTTCATGTTTGAGACTACATAAAGGATAGCGGGAGTAAAAGCTGTATTAAAACAGCTTGACTAGCTCCTGCTACCTATCTTTTTTTCTCCTTTCACTTTAGAACTGAAGTTACTTCTTTTTATTTTTAAACAGCAGTAACAATTGTCAGGTCATTCAGTGAGCAATTGCAGCCAGCACATCAAAATTCAGGTTGCAAAACAGCAAGCGCGACTGAAAAAAAAATAAAGTTGGAATGCTTGTGCTTTGCACAAGTCATCAAGTTTTTAAGCAACAAATTTAGAATTACCAAGTCACAATGCTCTTTTGTTGCACTATAATATTATTGTTTTGCCCTTTTAGAACATTTATTGTTGTCAAGGGCCGACAGCAAAGGCGCTGTTACACTTGCGAGGCGATAGTAAGGACAATCCATGTCGATGCAGAAGCGAGCCAAACTGAGTCAAGCCATCCTTCGCCAGTGTGGTCATGTGGTGTCAGCTGCGCTGCGGTGGTTGAAGGCTGTTTCACATGGCGCGATTGCAGCGAAAAAAATCATTCCATTCTCTCCAAACGCTCTGTTCGCAACCGCCGCCGTTGGGGATTTCATTTCACATGGACCGCGAATGGTCCGCGATTTTCGCTCTGAGACTGGAGCGGCGAGCAACGTTTCTTGCAACCGTTCGCTCGTGCAAAAATATAATTTAACAATCTATGCATTATGATATTATTAAGTTTCCATGAGTGGCAACGAAGAGCACTTAATTATTTAGTAATTTAAGAACACTTTCCTTTCCTATCTACACTTTAAGATGTCCAACAGGGGCATTTACCAAAACAAACACGTCGAGGCAATTTTGACAGCTTGGCCGGCCCGGTCCTATTTCGACGGGTCCCAAATAGAAATCGCTTTCACCGTTGCGATCAGAGCAAAAATTTCCAACATGTTGGAAACTCGCTGCTGACCGCTGCAGCGGGAGCGAACTGTTTTTTTTTTTTCGCTGCGAGCGAATGCGCAGCCTAAAAAATCGCTACTTTTTGTGTCGTGTGAAACGGCCTTGAGTTGCCGTCTCTGCTTTGTCTGGTTCGGGTGTTCGGGTTCACCCCTCGGCGATCACGGAAAAGCTACACGTCGAAGTTCAAGTTGACAGCAGTTGAGTTCACCCTTAAAAACGGTAGCCGTGCTGCTGGACGACATTTTGGTGTGAGTGAAAAGATAGTGCACGATTGGCGTAAGTCAGAGGACAAGCTTAGGGCTATGAGAAGCACAAAGAAAGCTGACCGAGGATTGAAAGCCTGATGGCCGGAACTTGAGGCCCGTCTGCGCACTTGGGTACTAGAGCAATGTGCTGAAGGCAATGGACTGTCTACTGTGCAGTTGCATCTCAAAGCGCGCACGTGGGCACAGGAGATGGGAGTTGTTAGTTTTGCCGGTGGACCTTCTTGGTGCTTCAGATTTATGAGGCGCAACTCTTTGAGCATCAGAGTGCGCACAACACTTTGTCAAAAGCTGCCCGAAGACTTTGTTGAAAACCTCAAGAAGATCAAAGCATTCGTGAAGAAGCAGGTGGACGAAAGCGAGCTATCAGAAGATCACATAGTCAACATGGACGAAATTCCATTGACGTTTGACATTCCGATGGGACAAACTGTTATGCAGAAGGATGATAAGTTGGTGCTTCTGCGAACAACTGGGCACGAAAAGTCACATTTTATGGTCGTCCTTGCTTGCTGTGCTTACGGAACCAAACTGCCACCAATGCTTATATTTAAGCGGAAGAACCTGCCGAACGAAAGCTTTCCTTCTGGGTGTAATCATCCAAAGCTTTCCTTCTGGGTGTAATCATCCAGGCAAACGAAAAGTGATGGATGGATGAAAGCATGATGACAGCTTGGCTTGAAAAATGTTTTGTCAAACGACCAGATGGCTTCTTCAATATGAAGAAAGGTCTGCTCGTTATGGACAGCATGCGTGCACCCAAACATAAGACTCAATGGCTCAATGGCTTCACAGATTACAGATGCAACACTTAGGAGGGTGAAGGGTGTCAAGTGCACGCCTGCAGTCATACCAGGCAATATGACGAAGCTGCTGCAACCTTCGTATATCTTCGTCAACCGCAGCTTCAAAGCTGTACTGCGGTCTTTGTGAGAAAGCTGGATGACCGACGGCGACCACAGCTTTACGGTCTCCGGACGCATGAGACATGCAACGTTTGGCGAGGTGGCCAAGTGGTTCGACGAAGTGTGGGATACCGTGTCTGTATCCACAATAGCTGCAGGCTTTCAAAAAGCTGGCCTTGTTGCGTCTGCGCCTTTCAGCGATTATGACAGAAGCGACTCGGAAGATGACAATGATGTCCCTGCGACCCTGCCCCGTGAATTGGCCGAACTGTTCAACACCGCATGAGAGGACGAGGCCTTTGACGATTCCTAGATAACGTGCAGTGAAGAATAAATTTTTTTCTGCTTACAAGCGCTCAATCATTGCATTTTTAGTGTAACCTATAGCCCTTTTATTGATGGGTTAGGGGAATGCGAGGGATCCGGAATGGGTAAGTACAATGCAGATAAAACTAAGTGCATGCTGAATTATTCTCAGTTGGGCTGATCACGCAGATAAGAGGTGCGTCTTATACCAAGGTGCGACTTATATATCAATTTTTTCGAAACGCGAAAAAAGTGGGGTGTGTCTTATGCAAAGGTGCGACTTATAATCCGGAAAATACGGTACATAAAATACTCTTTAGAGCTTGCTTACCTCTGCCATAGCGTTCAGCCAGAATAGGAATAACACTGTGAAAACGCCCCGCCGTGTAGACTTCACCAGGGTCAAGTTCCACCAGGTTGGCTTGACCATTATCCAGAAAGTTCATGCACTGATCCTTGAATGCAGCTCGCTTACATTTGAGCGTTAGGGAGAACAGGCGGCTTACACGCACTGCCTCAGCAAATTCTGTGCACTTAAGGTGTTCTGCATCATTCACAGTGCACCAGGTGACGTCATGTTGGCCGTAACAGGGAAGTGCTGAAACAAACAAAATGGATATAGCAAGCTACAGCTCTAGACAATGACTTCGAAAAGCAAACAGAATAAAACAACTTCAAACATGATCTTTATCAGCACTTCTGCTATTAAATCAGGTCCCAAATGGTCTGTGGACATTTGAAAAAGAAGGAAAATGTAGAACTTTAGCCTCATTGACATTTCTTAGCTCTGTGCCCATTTATTCAGAAATAATCAGCACTGTGGTATTATGTAAAGAATACTGAGTACAGGATTATTAAATATTTATCACATCGACAGCAGGTTCTAGACAGTGAACTGGAGTCAGTCTGCAACTCTAACCAGCATCGTAAGTTTGAAACTTTGTTTGCAATGGTTAGTAATTATTTCTCAGAAATAAAAACCAGAATCAGAGGCTTTACCTTAATGGCAATGATATAGCTGTCACTCAAATGATAAGAGTGACATTACATACATGACATCTCAACTGAAAGGAGAGCAGATAGGTATGTGAAATTTCGTAGCACAGAAAGAAATGAATAATGTCACATAAAAGTAACTGCCATAACAAAAAAAAAAGGAAGCTGTCTACAGTAAAACTTGCTTAAAACAAACTCAGATACAACAAAATATGTTTTATATTGAACAAGTGGTACACATTTAAATCTTCCATCAAACTCAATGTGGGGTTCTAACAAACTTCAGAAGTTCTACGTACTGCACAAATTAAATTCGTTTCACTGACATCATCCTGAAGGGACAACATGATAAATGTGTATAAGGAATATGAGGCATCGTCCATGGTGAAAGTATGTGGTTGCAGCCTACATGGCTTACTGCCAACTTTTTTATGCTTACCTGTGACAGGGTTACAGCAGCGATGTGAGGTTAGTAATTCGGCACATTTCCACACTACAGCTTGTGCTCGACTTTTGCTACAAATACTGCTTTATGTTATGCTGCCAAACGCAGAAAATAACACAGCTGAATACACTAGCATGCTCTACAAGAAATCTTGATGAACAAAGATTTCTACATGTCCTAGAGATGGTGATGTCACCAGGCTGGTTCACACAGCAAGCACATTTTTGTCATACCATACATACCACCAATCTCAAAGGGCGTTATTGTTGAATATCTGTAACCTGTGTCCAGTAAGTGAGAAGGTGCTTTAAAGAAATTGAAAACGAATGCATCTTTCAATGAAAACTTTGTGCAGTTGTCTCATCTTAACATTATAGGAAATATGGAGCCTCAAAAGAAACAATGAATTTCTGCCTACCCTGGTGAAAACCTTATTCAGTGCAACCAAACCATGAATTTAAAAAAAACATACAAAAATAACTTTTTGCTACACCACACAACTTCTATCTGTCCTGAAAATGCAATGGCACCACAGTAGTCAGCCAAAAAGTTCTGACACCTAAAAATAAACAAAAATTCGACTAAAAGTGGGAGTCCAAGTTCCACTCCTACGTGGCCTCTTAATGCATTTGATCGAAAATGTGCACCATACTCTATTAGTATCATATGCATCACCAAGTGGCTCAGCAACTACTTTATATTCTATTGTTCTCTAAATTTCGCTCAATATAAAACTTGCATCCTGGTTTCAAGCACGGTAAAAAATAGCTTACTCTATCCTAAGATAAAAAAGTAAATAAGTAAATAATAAAAAAGTAAAAAAGTAAACATATGCATATTGGAAATGTCACTAATTTTGATGCATGGAAAATGCAGTTTAATGTTTATTAATTATTACTGCATGTACAATAACATGAGCTTGCATACTATATACAGCACCAGGAGATCCCAAAATCAAGAAACTGTCAGGGGGACCTCATGTTATAAGTAGGCAGATATGGGTATTAGAGCAGCAAGAATGGTGTAAACAAACTAACAAGAAAAAAAACATTACAAAATACAAATTACAGTGAAATAGAAAACAGTTAGATATACGTTCAAGCAGCATTATACCATATTTTAACAAAAAGTACTCAGAAAACAAAACCAATGAGTAATGATGAACAAAAAAGTTGATTTTTTGCTTACCAAACACACAAAATACCAACAAAATAAAACCCCTAAAAATACACTATGTAATGTAGAAGTAACTAAAATAGAAAAGATTACTTAATACTAACAGAGATGTGCTTCTAAATTAATATGGCCATGGAAGTGATGAGTGGTTTTTCCATAATTATATCTGATTTTTGGAAATAGGAACTTATTGCACTTTCAAAACCTATTAGTTTTGTTGACGGGGTTAACAAAAACAAGGCAGCCTTAACGAAATTTCCCAATGGAAGACAGAAAACAGTGGGACAACTGATATATTGAAGTATTCCCCCTTTAAGGGGCAACACTCTTCAACCCCCAATTTTTTATTCGTGCGTTGTGTAGATCGAAGTATAGACAAACTAATGCAGCAAATATGGCAGTGATAACAGTACGCAGTCCGAAGTTATTCAACTTAGAAATTTCAAAATACAAGAAAAAAAAGAAATGCCGACCCGCAACTCGATTTTTGTGGGGTCACCTGACCACATTTCACTGGCCCCTATGAGGCCCGGTGACGTCAGAGGGCTGCCCCGATGAAATAAGCTGAAAGCGCCAACATAGGGGAAGCTCGCACACCACTGTTGCTTGCTTTATCCAAAGTAATGTTAACCTTTTTGCCACGGCAACAAACGTGGTGCCCGACTCCTAGCTTGCCTTCTGCTGTTTCTTTACAACATTCCGTGTAGCCCGCTGCGCTTATTCCGAAAGAAGAAATTTGGGGGAGGACAGGGGCGGTGAAGTACTGTTGACCATTCGCGAGTAGTTCGCTGCCCAATGAACTACAAGGGTGCATTGCACACTTTCAACAACAACGAAAAGCGCACTGCACATATGGAATGAGGCAGCTCACAAAAGCAAGAAGATGGAAGAAAGAGAAGCCTTTCGTACGCGCATCCAACCTGCGCAAACCAAAAATCCAGTGGGGAAATGGTAGCCAGCATCTCTGTTGTGCTTTGTAGTCACAGTGATATTTTTGGGGGCTGCCGCATCTGTTCAAGGTTCAATAGAAAATTACAGAAAAACAAATAAAAAAGAAACACATTGGCAACCTCAGTTTCGATCCCATGCCACGATTGCGTCTGACGTTACATTTCTTCAATCACAGCCCGGAGCCCTCCGTCGTCCTTTTCGGCAGCAAAAGTTCTGGCCAGCACCACTACGTGCTGATACGGTCAGCAATGATTTTATGTCATGATTGAAGTACTAAATCATTTAATATCGGCTCTTAGAGCAAAAGTAAAATTATCCCTTGCCATCACTCCAAGCAAAACACAAAAACAGGTGATTCAAAAGTTTTTGAGGGTCCCTTTAACTCTGTAATGCCCACAAACAGTTATGCCTTCAGAAAAATTTCGAGAAAATGCTGACAGAACAGTCAGCATTTTCTCAAAATGTCAGCGTTTTCTCAAAATTTTTCTGAACTTTTACTCTTCTTGTACAGTTCGTTTTAGAAAAAATACGAATGAAATTTTATTAGAAGCATAACTTATTAGTATCAAGTAAAAATGATTACTTACTGTCTTATAATATGTAAGTCACTGTACCTGCTTGTCAAATCTGCAATAATTGCTTATCATGACATCTACAGTAGCTTTTAGTAGCTTTATTGAGGCATCCAATGCATCGAATGTGATACAGTGGGCATCAGAGGGTTAACCCACATAAATTATAAACTAATAAATTTGTCTATAACTTAAGGTAATAAATTATCAGTTGTTTTTGTTAGTTAAATGTGCGTACTTTCATTTGGAACTATATATATATATATATATATATATATATATATATAATGTCGGGTTGGTGAGCTAACGTAACAAGAATTACTTTGGTCTCAGTAATAAATGTCATGAGCAATTTAAGAAAATGTATTCACTCCCCACCTACCTCCATCTTATCTACCCCTCACAAGAGCAGGAATTGGCTTTCATAGCACAGTATCTTTCGAAATGGTGCTATCAATTACAACCTTTCTGTGATTGTCCAGAGGCTGCAGAACGCCTGACCATGGTGGTAGTCAGAATTGTAATGCAGCGCAGGGTGAGAAGAAAAAAGAGAAAGGAAAAACACTGAACCCAGAAAGGCCTCTACTGAGACCTGGCAACTCTGCAAGTGCATACTCTTGCCTGTAAAGCGAGGCTAGTGGTGCTCCTAGAGAAGTTATGAGGCACTTATTGGGATATCACTGTACTTAGTGAGGTTAGTACAGCTGGTGAAGAGCCTACACATTGTTAACTAATGAGCACATCCTCTGATACAGGGCCTCCTCGAGAAGAGAGAGTATGGAGTAGGGTTCACGAATTCACAGATACTGCGGGCGACCTCAAATTCTGCAGCACAGCATGCGCTGTGACCAAATTAAATAGGAAAGATAAACTGAAAGTAAGAAAGGGTTACACTCCAACGTCCAGCCATGACGACAAGTGAAACTAAGAAGATGTCCAAAGTAGAAATGCATAAGGTCTTAACCCAGCACACCATAGTCACGGGTGACTTCAGTGCAAAAGTAGAAAGTAATCACAAAAATTATGCAATTGGCAAATATGGCATCGAATGTACGAGTACCAGAGGATAAATAATAGTGTAATTTACAGAAAGTCAACTCCATATAATGAACATCATCCGACAATATAGAAATGGTAAGTGGGCACGCAAAAAACACTCACAGAGGGGGAAAAAACAGATTTCATAGTGTGTGAGCACCCAAGTATGGCACAAGACAAAGAAATAGCAAACAAAGCAAAGTTCAGTGAAGTAATCGCTGATTACTACACTGAGGGATTAAGGATTAAGATCCTCCTCAACCTTATGTACACAAGAACAAAATCGCTTAAAGTAGGCCAGCCTAAATGTAGTCAGGGTAAAAAGAAAGAAAAAACAAATAAGTAGACAGCTTTTTAAAGAAGCTGGAGGTGAAGTATTAAGGCAAGAAGCAAGCAAGCTACCTAAAACCGCAAGAGACTTAATAAAAAGAAACGTCATCTGATGAAAGTGAAAGTAGAATTTCTAGATCTGGCCTAAAAACAGAAACTCGGCCACATAGAATCGTAAAGAAAAACAGCATGAAATCAGCTAAAAGGAAAATGGAACGCTCTTCTCTAAAAACTACATTACGAGCAGTGATCTCTTTCAGCTCTAAAAAAAGCATCTTGTCAGGTCGCGCAGAAGCACAGTTGCTGAGACCTTAATGCGGCAGAAATACAACACCGCGCTTCTGTCACCTTTACGATAATCAGAACGCTCCGACTCTACCAAGCACTGGCGCATCGCTTGATCATAGCACGGATTAAGCGTATGTAGTACCTTCACGCATATTTTTCAGTGAGCGCTTGCAGTGGCCACACCAAAGAATAATTTAAATATAGCGGCACAAAACAACTAAACCTCTTGATACTTTTTGCACGAGCCACAATATCACATCTACAGAGAGTCACGGAGTGACTGCTATTCTTGATCACTTTAAATAACGCGATCTCAGCTTAGATCCAACAGACAAGCTCTTGTACGGGCGAACTGTTCAATTAAAGTTTTTAAAAAATCGTGCGGTTTTAACAACGCGCACGTACGAGGCCACGGCTAAATTATGCCACGGCCACAAGTTTTTCTTAGTTAAAAGCATCACAGAAGGAAAGAAACCAAGCTATGAGCCGTCAGTCAACACGACTGTCAGCAGCGCAAGGTGTGGTTCGCATGACCGCCAGATGCATCCGCCACGGTGTGCGGGCCGTTTTACAGCGGTTGAGTTAATAAGTAAACACAGAGGCTTACCGTAGAGGATAACTAATAGAAGCCAAGGCAATAAATGCCTCGACAAAGACCACATATCCAACTTTTGCTCAGACTTGACTCACGCGCATTCCGCAGATGCGGTCAACAGGTAGGAGCGGCAGCAACGCTTTCAAAAGGTGTGTCACTTCCGGTCCACAGGTGAATATTTCAAGTTAAGCGAGCAAACAAATGAAGCGCTGCTCGCGTATAGCGTTTTTAGATATATTCATTGCTTATAAAAATAAAGTAAAATTGTCGTAATGTAATATTGAGGTTTCTGCCTGTTGTAGTTTCGTTTCTTCAAGTTCAACCAACGCCTCCTCAAGAAATCGAGAAGCGTATGATAGGGGGCTAGTTGGTAAGACATTTAGGAAAACTATAACTGCGCTAAAAACAAGACACGAGAACGAAGTGGAGTCCTGTCCATTTCGTTTTCGTGTTTCGTTTTTAGAGCAGTTATAATGTTCCTAAAAATCCTTTAGAAACATGGAGGAAGGAAAAACTTACAAGAGTTCTCGCAAGTGGTGCCTTGTCCTCGGACTCCTGTGACCGTGTTTCCATCTTTCCTATCTCTCCTATCCCCTCATATGTCCTCGCTCGCTGTCCCAGCGCATCTCTCTCTTTCTCTATACCTTTAATTCTATGCTTTTAATCCCTCCTCACCCTATCACTTGTGAGCTACTGTTGAGGTGTCACACCCTGATGCACACAGTTACGGGGCTCACTTTTCTCTTGTTTTCCCTCTTATAACCACTTCTCTTCCTCCACGTCTGAAAAGATGCCTGTGACTTGAGCCGAAGATAGATATAGCACAGAACACTGGGCAGTGTGGTAGCAATGGTTACCACGACGGCTCGGTTTCCTAGCCGGCATCGCTTCGGTTTTTGCTTCAAAGGTCCTACCGCTAACACCGCCTAACCGCGAACTCAACAACGATTAAAGCTGCCGAAAGCGCTATTTCGTAACCGTGCACTTAATTTTACATTATATTTGCGTACCTTCAGCAGTTGCACGGACACTGCATTCATTGTGAGTATTAGAAGAGTAGATAACGAATTATAGTACCAAGTACTCCACCATGGGAGAGTTGAAAGACGTGCCGTGCGTCTGCCGTGGTCAGACGACGGTGAGTTCGCACCCGTTCGCACCGCAGCCCAAAGACCGTATACACAATTAAAAATAGGGGGGGGGGGGTTGAAATAGTAGGTAACGATTTAGAGTACTTGGTACTCTACTATGGGAGAGCAAGAAGCCGTCCCCAAAGATTCCCAACGATTCCGAGTGTAAACTATTACTACCTACAGTGACATGGCTCGTGAAACACTGGCAGTTAACTTTGGATCACGTAAAATTACCTGCTTTGTGATTCTGGTTTTACATGTAAAAAATTAACGCACTAATCAATTTTCTTTCAGCATTGTGACACAAATTTTTGTCAAAAAATCTAGCACCAGTCAGAGACACGATTTTTTATTTAAAGATATATTTATTCATCATAGTATTTTATCTAGGCGATGTCATCAACTTGCAAAAAAAAAAACTTCTCTTTCAAAAACAACTGTCTCATAGCCTCGACATTCTACGCAACGTCATAGCTTACCAACATGTATTGGGGGGGTAGCTGTAGTAGTAGTACAAAACTCTATTATGTACATAATCCAGACAGACTAAAGAAAAAGCTCGTAAGCTACTAAACATCAACGAAAAGTGTTGTAATTTGTCTGTTATGTTTTAGTTTCATGTACGTGACGTCAGTTTTTGTCTTCCGGTGTTGCGTCGCCATCGCCGAGCACATGTGTCTCTGCACGGAGGAAGGCGTCTCTGTCACTTCCTCCATGCTCTCTGTCGTCGCGACGATAGTTAAAGCGCGAGAACAGAACGACGATGCAGAGACAAGAATGACACGAGCGCTTGTGCCTTTCCTGCCTCTGCGTCGTCGTCCTGTTCTCGTCATGCCATACCACAGACCAACTAGCCCAAGTTGCCACACTTTTGAACCGAAGAGCTAGTCCCGGGCTTCCGGCCCTCTCCAGTTCTCTTCTTCTCCGCTCCCCCAAAGGCCCAAAGGATGGTAGTGGTTAGAAGATGAGAAAAGGCACCTAATTTCTGCAACCCGGTCGGGAGCACGGCGCAGTGCCTCCCAAAGGGGCATAGAATTTCATGAAACTCTGTGCCAAAGAGTGTCGGCTGCGATCGCTTGCTGCGGCGGCAGCTTTAAACGTAGAGTTTCCTAATTACTGCCCCGCCGCGGTGGTCTAGCGGCTAAGGTACTCGGCTGCTGACCCGCAGGTCACGGGATTGAATCCTGGCTGCGGCGGCTGCATTTCCGATGGAGGCGGAAATGTTGTAGGCCCGTGTGCTCGGATTTGAGTGCACGTTAAAGAACCCCAGGTGGTCGAGATTTCCGGAGCCCTCCACTACGGCGTTTCTCATAATTATATGGTGGTTTTGGGACGTTAAACCCCCGATATCAATCAATCCTAATTACTCTATGGCTTTAAACCTTCTTGCCTCTGAGAACAAAGCAATGTTTACTGCCGTCTTGGAGGCAACACAGTCGTGTTTTTTTGATGGCGTCACTTCCGAATCTAGCAGAAGTAGCAAGAAAACTTTATGAGATGGTAAAAAAAAAAAAAAACCCGTCGCGGGCTCGGCATTTCAAAAGCCATAAAAAAGCGTGCGACCAAGGAAGTTACTTGCGTGCGATGTCGCAGTCATCTTTCTAGAGGAGGCAGTGGCCAGTGGGTGCCTAGAAAGTGGAGGTGTGCTGACGCCGCTCAACCCTTCTAGTACACTCTAACCGGGTGAAAATAGCATCAATAGCATTTCGATGTAATTTCAGCTATACTCCCCAGGATGCCGCAGCGGCGGCTTAATTCCTATGGGGGTACACGATTGCAGCGCCAGATTCCTCTCTTGGCATTATTGTATGACACTCTATGTATAGTTTGTGTATAGTTTTGACCAGCGATACACCTGGCAACATTGTTTGTATTATCATCACCATCATCACACATAGAAGTTATAATATAGTTCTAGTGTCGGGCAGTGGAGTGATTCCGAGTGAACGAGGCGGCCGCGCCGCACCTCGGCTGCTTCTCCAGCGGGTGGCAGTAGCGTCGGCTGTAGTCGCATAGTACTAAAAGTATCAGAAACGTCTGCATTGGGAGCGCGCACGCCCGAGCCTGCGAAAGCGTGCAATTGCTCGTTTTTAGCGCGTTTATTGCGTTTTTGAGCCTTTATCAGTGAACGCACCTGCTACGCGCAATGTTGTACGAGTGAAAATGCAGGCACGCCGAAATGGCGTCGATATACTCGTTGTTTCAAGAGTCTGCCGACCTACCACCCCCCCCCCCCCCCCCCAAAAAAAAAAAAAATGTCAATCGGAATTTGCACGGATCCGCCTAGCTTCTTACTCAATCAGCGCTTTGAGCTGCGTTACATCATAAGTGGCTACTGGTGAACTACAAAGAGAAAAGTATCAAAACCGTGATTAAATCATACGCTCGTTTTGTCGGCAGTCTCTATGATATCCAGAGCAGAGTGTTCCTCATATCAGCCTACATGCGCTCAATTGTTTCCCGAGAAACCTGAGTATAAGTAACGTTGCCGCAACATTAATCGGTGACGACTCTGTTTTATCATGCCAGTTTTGCGGAAGATAATAATTATTGCTTTCCGAAAGGTTTAATACACATTAAACTTAATAAAACAACACACACACATATTAAAAAGTGTCAATTGTATATATAGCTTGTCTGATAATTTGCGTAAATTTATTGTAACCAGTTCTCATTTTTGTATCGACAGCTTAAATTGTGCTGCTTTCCAAATATTCTATTGGCGTAACGACATTGCAAGCTACAAGCGAACAATTTTACGACGATGTTTTGTATTATAAGCGTAGTTCTATTATTATATGAGACGTTAAGCCCCATATATTATATCTATTATTATTATGAAAGATGTAGGCAGGCAGTGGTAGTGGTGCATCTTGTTTTGAGAAATTTACCTTCCTTTTATATGCAGTAAACACACACACACACACACACACACACACACACACACACACACACACACACACACACACACACACACACACACACACACACACACACACACAAACATATATAGCAGAACGCGCAACTTTGGCACTTCATGGTCACTGTGAATACGTGTAAATATTTTAGTATATACTCCGAAAAGTTAAATTACGAAAACATTTCGTAATGTAGAGGGTTCAGATTCCCTTCCTCTCCCCTCTTTACTTATGGCTTTCTGGTTTTGCGTGCGTGTGACACAGTATTTGTTTTTTTAATCTCACAGCTTTCTGACCACAGCTAACTTCCAATAAATCGGCTCTGTTATTAAGAGAGAAGGAGTCAGTATAAAACACACTTTTTGAATTATTTTCGATCTCTCACAAGCGCTTTTATGGAGCTCAAGTTCAGTAGATTGGCGTTTCATACTTCAAGGGCTATGGCATCATGTGCTAGACATGAATGATGGGCAGGTACAAAGAAATCTGCATCAAGAAAGCGCGACGGAGGACGAAGCGCATAGCAGTTCCTGCACGCGGCGCGCGGCTCTTTTAGTACTATTCGACTGCAGCGCCGCCGCTGCGGGCAGCGCACACGGGATTCGGTCATGAGGCGCGGTCACGCCACTCAACACTTCTAGTACACTCTAATAGAAGCATGCGCGCACGAAAGTTGCGTATGTTTACCTGTTGTTACCATCTTTATTTGTGTGTGTGGTCCATGTTGTAGTTGCTTTTTAACAAAATGAGCGCATCGTCTCTTGTTTGTAAGCGAGTGTTGCCGAAGGATGCTAGAAAGTTATTGCGTGCAGTATTCCCTGTGCTTAAGGAGAAGGATGAAGATCTGAAGGACATCACTGAGAAGCTGAAGCTGGTATTCAACCACGGTACTGAACATTGCTGGACTGCGTTGTTGTAAACTCGTCCGAATAGGAGCAGCTGTGAATTACCGCAAATGATGATGCTGATGTTAAGGCTATTGAGTGAATAATATATGTTAAAGCGGGCGGGAATTAAGGGATCGTAGCACTCGGCATAAGTTTTAGCAGTTCGAAAATGAACTATAATTTAGAATTGAGCTTCATTGCGAAGCGGTTTTGTAAAAATTAAAAGCTTGCGCTGCTCACCGGAGTAATAGTTCCCCTTTGCGTTCTATTGACTGTTTGTCTTTATTGATGCTCTGCCAGTTTTATGCCTGTTGCAGGTGTTAAGCAATTCAATTTTTCTTTCTTGAAGGCATAAAACATATGGAGTAAAGCCGGTGCATGTGGTTCTTGTTGAACTCAAAACACTCATGGTTGTAAGGAAGGCTTGGGCTGTTTATCCACTGAAGTAAAAACATTGGACAACTGCATTTTGTGTTACTGAAATTCGTTAAAGATCGGAAATTCAGGTGAATACATCATAACTGTTTATATATTTGTTGTGCCGTTGTTTTCTTTTATCATTCCGTAACGAAAAGATTTCACGTATTCATAAATTTACGTCTGTTAAAGTGATTCTAGAAGATGCTGCACTTTGTCGCTGATTTCACTGGTGCTAGATGCAGCATCCGCTTTATTCACACATGGAACTACTATTTTCTTATATAATACTACTGACTTCCTAGCAAGTTGTTTCACTTATAAGTATTCATAAATGAAGGGGTGTTTCGCTGTAAAGGAAAATATTTTTATTTGTAAAAGTTTTTATGTCAGATTTAGGTATGCAGATATGTTCTTCGTCTTTCATCATTATTGCTTAGATTTTTTTAGCACTTTCTGTAACACTCATCCAACCCTTTTACAGCATGTGCACTGAAATTCGCCTTCTGGAATTTGCACCTGTTGATTATGAAAGCCTTTAAAAGTTTTTTTAGCTTGTGGTAAAGAAGAATATAGGACCAGTGTTTGAAATGTTTCTTTTTGATTATTAACATCTGATATTATATAGTATAGTATATCAACATCTCGTGACCTGTAACAACATGGAAAAGCATGTTGGCGAAAACAGTAGTCCACTTGACATACTTTTCTATCTCTGTAGGTCGGTAAGCATTTTTGGTATAAGTGCCTGGCTGACCATTCACTCTGTCTGATGTGTAAGTCATAACTCAGGTAATGATGTAGTGTCCAACGTTAGTAAATATATCTGTCAAAGCATTAATCATATGGCATTGATCAAATTAAAGCTTTTGGTTTGTTTATTGAACGATTTCATTGGTCTCAATACTGGGTCTACCACTTCAATCTTGATCATGCACATTTGGGGTGCCCTTTTCGAAGTCTTGATGTTGTTGACATGTAACAATTACTGCTCTTATTACTGTAAATATGTAAAGTATACTACATGAGTTTTCAGCATCTGATAATCCTTTTGCGCAAAAAAAAAACTCAGTCGCAGCACGTTCTCGGCAACTGGGGGGGGGGGAGCGATAAATTCTTTAGACATTGTCATCTGCATTGACCAATAAGCTAACTTTTACCGGTTCCCAACAACCATAATGCAAGCAGAAGAAGCCAGTGCATGGCCCTATATGTGTGCAATTTCGGGCTCACCTGCCGAGAGGTAAATAGAATTGAATGTCCGTTGCTTTTGGAATACACCTCCTACTGCGAACTTGTGGTACCAGTAAGACATAACAAAGGCTGACTCTGCAACTCTTAGCTAACCAGTTAAGTTTAGTTAGGGGATAATAACACTCGTGTATACAGTATCTGGATATATATTACCAAAGAAAGGTGATGGACGGATGGCTTGTTTCTTTGTTAGGTAATGCCCCTGCAGCTGTACCAGTTAGGCTATGACAGCGGTCGTTATTGTCTACACTTTAGTGGGTATGCAATCCTGAGAGTTCTAGCCAGTGCCACTCATGTAGCCATGGAAGCGAGTGTGAAACGAATTCCTTTTGCTGACTGCCATTATTTAGCATGTAGTCTTTTTAAGAGCTGGTAAATAAACCCTGGCATGCTATCTAAAGGAATCAAGTCTGCTCACTATAAAGGAAGACGGGGGAAAACAATCAAGGGTTGTTTCTTTGCTTTATACAAACTAATAAAGCCACAGACAATGAATCCAATGAAGGCATGGAAGAAATTTCTAGCTTTTAAGTGTGATGTAATTATACGTAAGCAAAGAGGATTTTGGATGAAAAAACAGCTTGCCATCAGTAGGGGTCAAAGCTATTATATACGCAAGCATGCACCCACAATTTTCGCGTATGCCATTTCCTCCTCAAAGGCAGATGCCCACAATGCTTGCGCCTCTGTGCATGCACTCCAGTCTGACGTGAGCTAGACATCCAGTGACCCCCACCTTTGAAGGACATTGCCAAATGCATGAGTGGGACTATTTCTTTGATCGCAGATATGACCGGCTGCCACGCTTCGGTTGTATGAGTGGTGCCTCTCCATGCTTAAGTTGTATCCAACTGTAGATGTACAATGATTTCACCTGTGTGCACAAGACAACCCAGGGAAAATGGTTTTCTCTTTTTTTCTTGGTAACTACCACTGAACACAGTAGTGAAATACCTACTGTTATACATCAGAATAAAAACAGAGCTTGTGAATGCTGGTGCAGAGAGAACTAACCAATCAAGACCATTCATCTCTCTTGTTGTCCCTTCTGTCTTGATGGTGCATTTTAGTGGCTTTTGTTTTGTAGTGCATTCTTTACAAATGTGGTGTAAGCTTATTGTCAAAGGGCAGACGCACGAGCACAGGGGTGGCACAGAACTTGTATGAGATGAAATTATGTAGATCATTGGTTTATTGCCATGTAGGTTTAATCTAACGAACATGTTATTGCAGGTACTCTTAAAAAAGTCTTAAGTACCTACTGTCTTGTTTGTTTGGTGTTTAAGGCTGTACCTTGTTAATGATCTGTGCTCATGTATGTGTTGTTTTTTTCTTTTCAGATTTAAACATTCGGCTTAACACTTATGGTATTAACGTCTATCCAATCGGACACTTGGAGACTTTTGCAAGGGGGGTGATTGGTAAGTGTCCGATAGGCTAACTCAATCTAGCCCAGAATGGAGCGACTACTAAGGCTCTTCACTGCCACATGTCAAAACTTTCTTTTTTTTTGCTTAGTAACAATGTATTGTACCACTGCCCATTTTCAATCATTACCCCTTATGTGCTATTTCTGATATGCATTCATGGCACATTCTGTTGACTTTTTGCCCATTATTTTGTTATTGATACCATGCAGTTATCATAGCCTTTCGCATCTAAAATGTTATTATCATCCACACATCAAAGGGCCAGTAAACAACCTTGAGGTACAAAAGTTGTTATGAAGAGAAATATGTGCACTTTTGCTCTGTGAAAATCTTGCCACAAGAATTTCGCAAATACATGCTATAATTAGAAAGTTACAGGGGTTAGAGCATCTTTTCAAGCTGGCTTCAAATTTTCGCGCAATCTCGTTACACTTCTTCGCTATAGGGAGGGGGAGGCGTAGCCCGTTCTTGTGGCTGTGCCCACTTCAGCAACGTGACACGACATCAGCAGTATGTCATCTCTGTGAAGTCGGTGACCAAGTAGGGCATCCTTGATATGAGCACGTGCCATAATGACACGGGGAAGAAGAGCAGTCCGATGAGCACCCTTCCTTTAGTGATAAAGTAATGAGATGCCTCTTTATCTCGGAGGCTTTTGTTCTCGCAATGCCGCTTCTCCCAGTAGTCCTGGACACTACAAAACAGCAAAGGCAGCACAGGAAAATAAAAATGTGGACTGCATGGCCGAACTGCATATCCGCTGCGCCAAAGCGGCGTTTCGTAGGGCAAGGCCCAAGCGATGAGCCCAGTGGTACGTCAAGTTTTCCATTGGCAATTTTGCGTCACTGTGCGTACAAAGGGCATTGGTCAGGCGAAGAGAATAGGCGTGAGAATTTCTTTTGAAATGGAGGGTCTGCGCGATGTGCAGCGGTGTAATATTTGGAAAATGTGATTGCCACGGTCTATGGCAGGAATTGGTGAGCTTGTTTGAAGGGTTAAAAAAAAAAAAAAGCTGGAGGCCCCTTAATGCATCTGCCAATTTGACTATTTGGACACTAGTATTGTGATACAAAATATTGGTATTCTTGCCAAAATATTAAACTGTTCATTATGGAAAATGTCTAGTGCAGTTGAAATAACATGGTAACAGATACAGCTTAATATGCTGCTATCTGTGCATATTAGTGTTGTTTCACCTGCACATGGCATGCTTCATTACAATGCTCACTACTTAGCCTGACATGTCATAAAATTATGCATGTCTTATTCCAGGTTACAATGTGGGAACAAGGGATAGTATTTCACGTTGGCTGCGACTTTCTAACAGAGTGAGTGTATTGTGCTCAGTATTGAGTACATGTTGATGTTAAACTGTAATCCTTGCGCACTAACAAGTGATTGTACTAGCCAATTTTTCGTTTTTTAGAAATACGCATTTTACAGATGAGTTCTGCAGAATCCTGCTAGATGGTGGAGGGATTATGGAAGGGATAACCCTTTGACTAAAAATCTCTCTTTTCTAATAAGTTTGTATGGATTTCTTTGTGGCTTTGTGTTCCAACCGGGTGGTCATTAATTATCCATTCAATAAATTTTTAGCAATCTCATCTAATATTAAGCCCTTGGCAGAATAACACAGCAAGGAAGAAGTTTCATTCATATTTTTTAAGTAGTTCATTCTGTAGAAAATACTTTTATATTTCCTGTACTTTTATTTTTGTATTTTATTTCAGTGCTGTGTAAAAACACATTTACTGTGGGCCCGGTTATTCTGTGGGCCCGGTTATTTTTTAAAAAAGTTAAGGGAGAGAGTATGACGGACCAACAATGTTTTCACTTCTCTTGGGGCACCCCTACTACATAGTAGTGAGGCATAACACTCAGTGAATCTTTTATCTGGTCACTCCGAAACCTTTTGATGTAAGCGAAAGTTGCCATAGCGGAGTCTATGCGGGATGACACACAACAAAGCAGTGCTTTTACAGTATATTTTGCTGAGGTCCTCTTCATACAGTGTGCAGTATTAGCACACCCAGAATTTCTCTCATTGTCTCGGGAGGGGGGGGGGGGGGGCACATTTCAAATTGAAATGACAACATCAACAAGATCTTTGAACGTGTACGTTAGATTCTCAGTGACCAGTTACGGGGGCTGAAGCAGTTAGGGGGGTGGGGGGTCAGGTCAGCCTCAAGGGGATGTTACAAGCCCTGAACCTCCCCTCGCCCCTCTGTTGGAGCAGCACTGGGGTGTAGTTACACCCACAAAAATTCAAACTGTGCAGTTTTCTTTACAGTGAAAGCTGTTATGAGATCACAAGCACTGTAGTTGTCTGCCGCCACAACTGTCCATAACTACTGCCACATAAAACAAGAAAAAAAACTATCTAATTAAAAAATACCGAGGACAGAATGGGTATCAAACCCTGGTCCTCTGATAGGCAGCTCAGTACTCTACGACAGAGGTAGGCCGGTGCTTGAAACTCTGTTCTGAATGGACCCTGTCCAGGCTTCATTTTGGGTAAGGAATCATGTTAACATGCATTATAAAGTGTTTTAGAACAGTACAGCAACAAACAGGCATCACGCAATGTGAATTGCGTGCGGAGTGGGTCGTTGAATGCTCCAAACAATTGCAAAAGCCTCAGGCATAATTCTTCATCGCCGTCAGCCACAGCAACAGCGAAGTTCATATAATGCCTTACTAGTCTGTAGCGCATAACACTCTTTTTCGAAGAATGATGAATAATGGCATTGTAGACGCTTCCCCACTACACAAAAACTTTGATCATTTATGTTGTAGTGGGCACCATGCATGTGTGCTTGTAGTTGTTGCTCCAGGATGATGATGAAAACATTTTTATTATGAAAATTAAAAAAAAAGGGGGGGGGGGGGAGGGTCTCTATTCCAGGAATCCTATGGTAACCTCTGTGACAGCCCAGGCCCTGAGAATGAGGGCCCAGCAGACCTCGGGGGCACCATCGCGAAGGATGCCTTCCCACTGCTCTGGGGCTCCAGGAGTGTTTAGAAAAGGCTCTAGAAAGGCCGCTCTTTCAGCTTTCACTGTGACTGTGCTGCACGCTTCGTGCATGCCTGGTGGTTTTTTGCAAAGATCGCCTGTGCACTATACGAGAATCTGGTATTTTTTTCTGTCTGTCAGCTAGAGTAGGATGTCGTCCACTAGTGATCTATAGTTAAGAGAACATGTTTTATTGGTTGAAGAACTTGACTCTTGCTGTCTATAAAATTGTGCTTTTAAGTTGGTGTAATGTTGTATGTTATGGTGGCAAAGGTAAACTTTTGCCTCATATTTATTGTTTAACATTTCAGAAGTTTGTCGTAAAGGGATGCTTTGGCACAGATACCTGCAGTTATAATTCTCTGGGACGTGTTGTTGAAACAGCACCATATGGTGAGAAGTATTTTATTTATAGGTAACAATATTTCGAAAAGTATTGTTTCTCATGTAGTGCAAATTCTCGTGAAGACTCTCATGTGAATGAATGAATGTTTATTTTATCTTGAATACAACTTCAAGAAAGGTACAGGAGGAGCAAAAGGCAAGCAATGCCTGAAAAGGGCCCCTGTACCCGCCACATGTTGCAATATCATGTTACATAATATCCCGAACTTACAGCAATATTACTGTGACATTTGTGCTACCATAATTCTTCAAAAATAGATGGATAAATAAAGAAAAAAAACAAAAAGAAAAAGCTGATTGGTGGCAAAAAAAAAACGACTAAATAGAAAGTTATGTGAAAAATCTAAAAATAAAACAAATATTTAAAAGCAGTAAAATGTGGTATTTTTCTTGTAAATTATGACAGTGGACAGAGATGAAGCATGCAAGCAGGATTATATCTGTATTCACATTACAAAAAAAGCCGTTGATATATAAAGAAAAAGCAGTTGAAATATAATGTATGCATATGTTACAACAATCACTCTCAAATCCTGTTTTAGCAACATGTCACCTTCACTTTATTTTTCAATGCATCAATAGTCGTATTGCATTCAATATTACCTTTTATAGCTTATTTAAGATTGTTAGTACTTGGTACCTGATTGTTTGTTCATCATGATTAGGCCTTGTTTTTATTGGTCGTCTCTTCAGTTTCATATCATAAGGAATTGCATTACTCTTGCCATGTAGACACTGTAGTGCATTGGTATGCATATACTGAAGTAGTTTGAAATCATAAATCTCGCTTGCTTGAAGCATTCAGTACATTAAAAATAACAGTGACATGATTAGGTAGTTCAGAACATGGTCTGTGATAATTTTAATTAATTTGCAATATCCTTTTTTGTAGAAGGATCAGCCTGTTCAAGTTTGTTTTTGTGGTTGTTTGGAATCTATTCTGTTGAATAGTCTGGAGTAGAACAATTATTTGTATGAGTTTTGATTCAGCCAGATAGGTATCAAGAATGAATTTTCATACGAACACCCAAAGGCTCGGGACTGCTTGGTAACTAAATCATTGGCATGAACGTTAAGATACTCTTGAAACCACTCACCAGGAAACTTTTGCTCATCAACCCTAGCTAACTGTTGCCCTTGAAAAAGTACTAGTACTATATTTTCCAGCTTAGTAAGTTGTTAAGAGCACGAAATATGCCATGGTTTGTTCTTGTTTTGCTAAGCTACGAGCTATTCTGTCTTCCCCAAGCCGACAGCAAACGGGAGGTATGTGTGGGCCTTAGTTTTCATATTTGTTAGATCTGTGGACAAAGGAGATGTTAGTGTCATTGACATAGATATGAAAAGTTCAACAGAGGTGAGCATAATTATAATGTCATTAAAGTAAACAAGAACTAAAAACGAACCCAGTGTTGATTCCTGTGAAACTCCTTGTGTTATGTTTGGTTTGATCAAGTGGTGTTTTTTATTTGTGCAATGTGATGCTGGTGACTCAGGCAGTCTTTAACGAGCCTTGGTGCCACTCCCTACACCCCTCATCTAGAGTTTCTGCTTTGAGGTGTCATACATTATGGAATCAAAGGTGTTCCTTAAATCTAGAAATAAATCATGTGTGAAATCCTTGGTATCTACGTTAGTAAGCGTGCTATCTTTTCTATAGTACAATGCTTTATCAGTTGATTGTTTTTTTGAAAACCATGTTGGCTACTAGACAATATTTTAAGTTAGTAAAAAAAATATCAGCCTTTGTTTGGGGGGGGGGGGGGGGTAGCTAGCACTTTTAGATATTTTCAACATAAATTGCAAAACGGATATCAACAATTTCATAAAATATTTCTAAGGCCACTTTTATATATAGCTGTTACTCGTGCCTCTTTGAGTTTCTGTGCGAAAACACTGGTTGATAACATGAGATAAATAATGTGAGCAGTAGCTCCCAAAACAAGGTGACATACTTATTTTAATTCCTTCACAACAATGAATTCCTTCCTTTGTATCAATGTGTATGAATTGAAATGCAGTACTGGAAAACTTTCAGCTATCTTGTTGATGACTTTTATACTTTGTGCTTTCTATTGCTTCAGAGACTTTATATCCTCCTGAGAATATCTAAAACCCACTTGTACAACACTTTTAAGACCATATCTTATTGTCACCCAGTGTCTTGCAAACCTAACGCATTTCACCTAGTGGCACAGGTACATTCAAGGAAAAATGGCATGTGTTCAGGAGATTACAATGTACAACAGCTTCTGCAAGCGATAACTTGAAAGCACGTAACAACCTTGTTAATTATGTAATTTCGAAAGATTGTTTAGGTCCCAGAATAAGTGTGTAAGCCAAAATCATGCCACCAATAACATGCCAGTGAAAAAACAAAACAAAACAAAATACAACACATTTTTACTGGCCCTAACTTATTCATATTTCAATTTTTCATGTCTATGTGTACATGACTATATGTATGTATGCACAGTGACATCGACACCGGCTGAAAATTTGTCAGTGTTGTCATTTAGACACTTCAACTATAAAGTGAAAGAGGGCATGTAAAGTATATAGTGAATTGTATGGCGCAGCGTTAGGACGAATACAAGAACGAGAAAAGGCAGGACAAGTGCTGCATTCACAGCTAAAATTTTATTGGAAAAAGCTGTGCAGGACTTGTGCTGTCCTTTTTCGTTCTTGTATTCGTCCCAACGCTGCCTGATACAATTCACTATGAACCCTAACAAAATAGCCCACTTTTTCTTTATTTTGCCTTGTAAGGTATTTTCAGCACCACTTGGTTGTCCAAATCCTGTAATGAAACACAATTTGGACTCCACATTTCCGCATTCTTTATAATGCTGCTGGAAACACCACTTTGGAGGGCCATTCTAGCCAAAATAAATGCTTTCATGTTCAAATTTCATTAGAATATGCTTAGGGACGCTGTGTTGCTTTTGTCTGAAATTTCACTTGGAATTATTGAAAAATATTTGAGAAATATATAAAAACATTCGGCTCGATTTACACTCAAATCTTAATTTTAAAACTCACTTTTCACCTAAAATTTTGCTATTCGCACAGCTCTAGTATGTACAATGAAGTTTAAAAGACAGCTAGAAGTTGCTCACTCTTAGCGAATTTCATGCAAGACATCATAGGCGGGAAGAACACAGCCATTGGCTGATTTGAGCATTCATATGCGACATAGTTAATGCGACCACCTTTGCGGCACTCTCTAGTGCTAAAATTACATACTACATAATCACACTTGCATGCTTGTGATCATGTCAAAAGTAAGCCAACACGTTTAAAGGAGAAAAAAAAAAAGAAATCGCTCAAGGTCATGATGCCTGCCTTTGTCATCTCCCCGTGTGTAGCTTTCAGCTCAGTGTTAGTATGAAGGAGAGAAAAAGAGCTTAAAGCAATAGACCAATCCTGGTAACTCCGCTCGTGCTTGGTGTATCTTGTGGAAGATCGACTTGTGTGGCAGTAAACTCACATAGTGAGTAAACGGGGATCTGTTAAATAAAACTGCCACTTTAATGAAACAACCTGATGCTTTGCTGCTTAGATGTCCTTTTTTTCTAGCACCATAGCATTGCTGTTACATATTTCTATTGTATGCATTCCTATTAATGCTAGGAACTTGGCTATGCTAATGAAACTTTCTTAGGGGCCCTGTGGTGCTTTTGGGACATGGTAAGTACAGTTGCACAGTCACTAGTCAACAGTACTTATTAACTGCTTTGTCAAATATCACAAGCAGCCGGGTTCCTCAATTTCGCTCGAAAGGCTGTGTGCCCTGAAACTTTTCAAATCCTCGCCATTTATTTTTAACAGTCTTGTGACTGTGGACACATATGGCTATGTCAGCTACTTTATGTCATTCATTCTCTGTGAAAGCCCCAGTGAATGCAAATGGATATTAGCAGCATCAGCTTTCATCTCAAGTCCTGGGCATGAGTGTGGAAACTTGCACAGGCTGCACCTATGGCACAAAAATGAACCGTAGCTTAACTTTCATCTTGAAGCATTTGTTTTCTATCTAGTGTTAGAATACCATTGCTGAAACTTTTTACAGATCACATCTCAGAAGAAAAGTTGCTGCAGGTGTTTCCACAGTTTCTTGGTGAAATAAAACAGGCAGTCAGCCTTCCTGAAGCGCCTCCACGTGATGCAGAGATGGTTGCCAAACGAGACCATGTGGCTGTCATGAAGCATCTGGCCATCTGTCATAGCATCAGATGTACTGAGCTTAGTCTACCTCATTTTTCACTAGGTAATCTTTTCATGCATTTCTCAGTGCACTTGTAACAAGTAAGCATCGGGCGCGAGGACATACCGTGGGGCCACCATGCGGAGGCATCCCTGTGACGTGCATGTTCGGATTGCTCTGCCGCTCTCTCACGTGCAGCGCGTAGCTGCTTTTGCATCTTATTTTTTTTAATATTCTTGCTGTACTTCACTCGTCTAAATCAGTAAAATACTGCTGCAGCTTCTTCTCTGTCTCTATAATATACTAAACAACTACTCCGGAAAAGTTTTACGCTTCCCATAATACCCAACTGCCGCTGTCGTCTGCTACGGTCACCTCTTTGAAAACCACGAGGGCGGAGCACTTTGCTTTTGTAAAAGGTAACGAATCATCAAATAGCTATTAATGTGCTTGTGGCAAAGAAATTTGTTTTTGCTGCAAGAAATACACACTACTGCATTCATTGTGTAGGTTTGTATCTAAAAACGGGCCGCGGTTATTACGACAAGCATGCACAAAATTACATTTTTTTTATTTAGTACACATAGCCCTACAAAACACAGTGGAAGCCGATTGCCCGCTTTGTGGGAATCAACACAGCATTCTTACAGCCGTATGCAGCCGCAACCTTTCTGTTACTATCGTGGGCAAACGCGAGAACCACTTACATGCGCATGCCTCATTCAAAGTTGTTACTAGGTAAAGTTTCACACGAGGAGGAGTTTTTCTTTGACACGATTCTAATATTTTTCTACGATTGTCCTACGATGCACATTTGATCGCCATTGAGCCACATGGGTGAAAATTATGAATGATTGGCTCAGCTCCACAGCTGTAAATCATGAGAAAAAAATGCAATCTCGACCAGGCTCGATTACAACAGCAAATGCACCGCGTGCCAGCCAGCCGTATTATTTTGCACCCTTGAATGAGCATGCTGCGAGATCTTGCATACTGTTGTCTATACGGCAATTTCATGTTTCAGTAAAAATGCCTTTGTCCAGTTTCTTTACAGCTTCATTCATAAGCAGTGTGACATTTCATAGCAGCTGTTAGAAGATGAATCATTTTTCAAAGCTGACTGCGTTTTGACATGCAGATCAAAAAAACATTGAGAAGAAGTGACAGTGTATGGGTCCATTCTACAGACATAATCTATAAGCAAGGAAACCTGCGATCTGAAGTTGTGAATGACAGGGGCGTAGACATGAAATTTTTTTTTTTGGTGGGTCACCACCTTGATTAAAATTAGAGGCCGGGCAGATAGATGTGATTGACCATTTGCCCTGTACAAGCCACGGGAAAAAAAATCACAGCGTATCCACAAGGTGAATGATGACAAGTGGGGCAAAGTGAACGCACGGGCGGACGGACACACGGAAGCACGAATGGACTGACCGACGCTCCGCCCCACTCGTCATCATTCACTTCGTGGATATACTGTGGCACCGTTTTTATAGACATGCAATGCAATGCAACTGGCTACTGTGACGACTATGATGACACGGGACATACGACCTACGGTGTAAGGGGCTTCGCCCCTAAAAAATTGGGGGGAGGAGGGGCACGGGCTTGGTGTGTTACGTTACAGGTGGACGGAAACCCGAACGGACTGACACACGGGGAGAAGGGTGGGGGTGGTGCAGATTTCTTAACGGAATTACCGGAAATTAACGGAAATTAAGAGAAAATAACTAGACTTTCCGAATTTATCTTGACTCACCTACAATTCAGATGATGGCGCAAATTTAATGATGGGAACTTCCCCCACATGTATGCACGTACGTCATATTTGAAGATATACACAGTCGGACTCTTCCTACATTAATTTTTCGTTGTGTACGAGCCTTCCGTGTATAAACTGAAACGTTCTGCTTTCATTTGAACATTCGTGTCAGCACTCATTTCAACCCAGTGCGCTTGAATTAACAATCACAAACATAAGGAAATAGGCGAGTGCCACTGCCAGCAGTCGGGATACTGGCATCACGTACTTAGTTCACTGTGGCACGCTGCCGATAACTTTTACTGCAACCTACCGTATTGTGTAGTCTGCAGAAGTCCGGACACATGGAGTGAGAGCAGAAAAATGCTGTTTAAAAGTGAAAATATCAGTCTTGGTTGAGAACAACACATCCAAACACCAGCTTCCCTTCGCCATAGTGAGGCGGGGTCATGTGATCCAACCCTGCACGTCACAGCAATTGCAGCGCCCGCTCCTCCAGTGGTGGGCCTCGTGTCCAATAGAGTGTGACACCACGTATGTATTCACATAAAGATAAAGGAGCCTTGGGCTTGAAGCTGCCATCAAGGATATGAAAGTGACAGTTGAACTGATTCATAAACCTTAGTGTACTCATATTAATTTTTACACCCTGTGATATGTTGTAACATTGTAGTATTGGTTTGGCAAAATATTCAAAGACTATTGCTGTCTTTTTTATATAATACAGTTAAACCCCTTTATAAAAGACACTGACACAAAGGACAAATGGGTATGAGAGTGTACCTACAGTAAAATTAAGGGTAATAAGAAAATGCATACGAGGTACTACCTGCTTATAAGAGACATCTCACATAAAAGGCAAGAATTGCTCCCTTGAGCGTGCCTCTTATAAAAGGGCTCAACTGTACCTACATAGCACCTAATCTTATGAACTACTAAAAGATGGATTGTGCTAATCTAGCCTTGTTTATTCAAGGTGCAAAAGCATATAATATGAGGCTTGGATTTTGTATGTTAAATTAGAGCTTTCCAGCAAGAACTTCTAAACAAAATAAAAATCACATGCCAACAATATTTCTCTGAAATTGAGTTTAAATGCAATAAAACATTAATATTGCTTGGCAAATCAAGGTACAAAAGAACTAATAGATAGATAGTCACAGTGTGAAGTGCCATAATCCTGCACGTAAATGTAAAATCAACGCAGAAATGAGTGATTTCATTAATTTGAATGGCTAGCACTACAGTGGTTGCATGTGTGTCTTGATCATAGTACTCTAGCCTTGCTTGCTTGCTCTTTATTTGGTCTGCTTACTATTGCACCAATACCTAAGCAATAAAGCAATATGAACAAAGCCCATAACATATCTTTTAGCTGGAATAGCCCAAAAATTTTCTGAAATTTGCATAAATGATTGCCATAAGTAATTCACATTTTGTTTAGAAAAGAATAATCGCTGAAAAATGTCAAACATCAATAAAAAGCATAAGTGTGAAAAAATAATCCTGCATTTTGATGATCGCAAAGAAAATATTCATCATAATCATCATCAGCCTGACTACGTCCACTGCAGGACAAAAACCTCTCCCATGTTCCGCTAGTCAACTTGGTCCTGTGCTCGCTGCTGCCACTTTATACCTGCAAACTTCTTAATCTCAATCTGTCTGCCGAACTTTCTGTCTCCCCCTAACTTGTTTGCCTTCTCTGGGAATCCTTTAATGCATGAATTATGACACTGCGAACCAAAATAAAAATTGTTTTCATTTTCCAGCTTCAAGTAGCAACCTTTAAATGATTCCTTAGTTACATTATCTAAAATTCAACTTTAATGCATACTTTTGCGTATGTCGCAAATTCTCCATATGCCATAGAAGCTAGGACCTAGCAACAAAAAACGTACTTGAGAACTACGTAACTTGTTGTGTAACACCTCTTGAGTATGCACACACCAAATAAACAAAATTATTGATCATAAAATTTTTGTCGCCAAGGCGAGAAAAAACGAAGAAGTGAGAGTTGTTGCATGCGCTTCGCGCTCTCCTCCATGACCTCCAAAACAATTAGTTCTAGCCTCGGACGATAGTGGGCTAGATTTTGCATGCTGAAAGCTACATGCCCCGTGAGTACTTGGCCACCGGAAATAAACGTGGCATGCATTTCGTGACTTACTTGCTCGAAGTTTTTCGGTATGTCACGAATTCGCAACATCCGGCAGTAAAAGGTTAAAACAGGCTACAATAGTGGACCAGTGGTTTCTGTGCTCAGCTGCTGACTTGACAGTCACAAGTTCAGTCCCAGCAATGGTGACTGCAGTTCAGTTTAAGCGAAATGCTGGAGGCTTGTGTGCTGAATGGCTTCAGCACATCTTAAAGAACCCCAGGCGGTCTATATTATCTAGGCATCTCTGTTGTGGCATCTCTCATAGACATGGCGTTTTGGGGCATTAAACCCCACAAAGCAACCAATAAATTTTCAAGTATAACCGTGAAGGTGCAGCTCTCACCAGCAGCAAAGCATTGTAAAATTGAGCTCTTGTGCTCCCAATGCTGGGCTGAGGGTGGTCTCTCGTTGGCCCTTGCCATAGCCACTCAAGCAAGTTCAGCAAAAAATTTTTGCTTTGTGCACCTCAAGCGATGTGATTCTTATCTTTTACCTTGGCCAGGTGGATTACTCGACTGGTACCTTGACCATCCTTTATGTTCCATTTAGTGTTTTTAATCGTGCTGCTAGCCCCTAGTGTTTGCTGAACTGTTGCTTCCGTTAGGTAGACAGTAGCATGAAAGAAGACTGTTCGATAGTGGCTATGTGCCATTTTGATGGCTTATAACTTCAAGAAAACAGCCTGTACTTTCAATAAACTTATTTAATTATGTGCAGTTGGCGGGTTGAGCTGGGCTTCTGTCTGCATAGCCTCCATTATCAACTCTGGCAGCGCATTGTTGCTTTGTCGAACCAGATCGCACAGTCCATGTAGAAGGAAGTGCATGGTTGATGTCAGTTTTTCCAGTAACTGCAATGGTCGCAGCCATTCACTAGAAAACAGTCTGCTACTTCAGTGAACTTGTTCAGTTAATCTTCATTATCCTGACAGGTAATGGACCCTAATCTTAATGAAGTCATGCTCAGACATCATATCTATCCTATACCACTCGTACTCGTGAATTGTTCACTTCTTTTTATAGACTAGTTTATTGGTAGTGCCGCCATGCTGGGAGCTTAACGTGCGTGTTTTGTTTCTCCAACAACTAAATTAACAGTGTTGCATTAGGTGGATGTGCGTGAAAGCAGTTAATTTGG